CTAAAATAATATTTTGTAATTTTAGAATCTAAATTAATTAGTTCTTATAATTTTTTAAAATTATTTAATGTATCATTCTTTCTCTAACTAAAATCATAAGTAGACATGAATATCGCTACGGGGAAATCCACGTTGAATTAGAAGTCCACGAGAGAAACAATCCCATTTTACTAGTTAGTTTTATTTTGGGACAAAAAATGTATAGGTTTTCTAGAGCTTATTAAAAATCATTAATTTTATTAAAAAAGATAAATAAAAAAATATTAACATTAGTCTTTAAAATCAATTTTAAATAATTAAAATGAAAAGTTATTGAAATACTTATATATAAAAACATTATAAATATTTTCTAATGAAAAATTATTACTTATCTACTTAATAATAATGTGAAGAAATAATATTAAGAAATTGAAAAAGAAAGAGAAACAGAACAATCAATCAAAGTCACTGCCATCACATACGTAGACACTTTCTCTGCAACATGCAATGCACCTCTGAGAAGGCACATCCACGGGTCAGAAGCACTAGGTTGTACGAATGTATTTGGTGTATTCAAAATGTCAAAAGATAACTTATCATAATCGCATTGCCTCTTCCATTCTGTCCACTCAAATGCCCAATTCGTGTTTGTCCCTGGATATTGCGTGTCATTTATATAATTTTTTAAATATATTATATTTAAAGACGTATAATAAAACTTTGTATGTAATAACTTTTATTAAAAATTATAAGACTTAATGTATCATAACATTTCCTCACAAATATTATACGAAACGATGATTTAAAACTTAATTTGAAATAAATTTTTGCATACAGAAGGGGATTAAGAGTTTATATACATAAAAGTTAAGTGTGCCATAATATAAAGAGTTAGTTCATTATTTTGTTGTTTAAAGTTTATTATTTTTTAAATAATCATAATATATTTCAACATGGTTTAATGATAAAAAAAATTGAATATCATTTGTTTTCCTTTTCTTCGTCAAAATAAACGATAACCATTGCACAATGTAAGATTTTATCGACAACTTTTAAATCATAAATGGAGTTGCTTTCATGTGCAATCATATAAAGTTGTCAGTCATTGTTAATTGCCCTAGTCCTGCAAAGATCAGAGAAGCCAGAAAATTCAAACCGCAATAATGCTAAATCGGGAAATTTCAATCTGCTTTTAGGAAGAAGAGAAAAACTGTTTTCTTCCTCATGAATAAATTAACTTTTATACGTTAACCAAGTACTTGCAGTGAAAAAAAAAACGAAAAGTGAGTTAGAAGCTGAAGCTGTTGCCTTGGTGAGTATTTTTAATATTTTTTTTTATCAATTTTTTAATGTATATTTAATGACATGTAATAAGAATTAACGAGTGTTTAACAAAAATAATAAAACATCAATAAATAGAGTATATTAATAATATTCAATGTTATAATTTTTAATAAAAGTTTATTAGTTTTTATTTCTTAATATGTGTTATTTGATATACATTAGAAAAATATTCATTGGTTTATTTCATTTTCCTTAAATCATGCTATGGTTTCCTCTTTTTTTGTTGTCCAATCTCTATTCATTATTGCAGATGTTGAAATTTTGAGCAAGAACAATGAATGTTGAAGACAAACACAGCAGTTTTGTTTCCAAATATAAGGTGATTGAGTAGGGGCGATTGATGAAAATTTCACCATAAAAACAGCGGAATATAAGCTCTATTATATCATATCAAGTCTCATGTACCCAAAAAGGCTATTGGAAAAATAATCATCAAATCGAATTGAATAATCAAGGATTGTATGACATGAAAAAAAATTTCTGCTAGCTACTTAATGATTCATTTAATTAGTCAATAATAGAAGAGAATCTTTATTTGTTTAAATCATGTTAGCAAGATTTTAAATTAGTTATTTTTCACATATAACAAGTTAAGCAATATATATATATATATATATATATATATATATATATATATATATATATATATTTAACTTTAACTTTTTCCTTTTCTTAATTAACAGCAATATGCATATGTATTCAATTTCATCGATCACACAAGAAAAAAAATAGTGTTTATGAGTCCGTTTAAATTAGTATGTTAATGATAAGAACAGAAATAGGTAAAAATAAATTATGTGCTAATTTAGTCAATTAAAATGACTAATTTGAAATGGAAATAAGTTAAAGAATTAGTATGAAAATTAAAAGCCAAAAGTACCATTTTTAACTAGTTATTATCTTAAATCAAATTATATTCATACGTAAATTCTATGATACACTACCATTTTATTTTATTTTTCTTTTTGAAGGTATACACTACCATTATGTTAAATCAGGTTTTCAAACAAAATAAAATAAAATAATTACGAGATAAAATATTATATATGTCTTTAAAAAAAATATCTAACCTTTATTTTCACGAGGAGGGGAAGATACTTTAGTCATGTTTAAATTTAGAGGCATTGAATCAACCAAAACTAAAGATAATAATATTTTGGCCTAGACCTTAAGTTTAATGAATTGATTCGGATTTTGAGTTAAAAAAATGGTTTGGTCAAATGAGTTATTGCGGTTAGACCTTTTTTTTCTGAGTATTATTTAGGCCCATTTTTACTTTTTTAAAGTAAATTTTGTAAAATTAATAAAATAAACCTTTTTTTTTATATGTCTTGGGCCCTTGATTGAAAATAGTTTTTTCTATATACTCGAGTCTTAGTTGAAAACTTTTACATATATTCCTAACTAGTCTAAGTAAAAAAAATAAAATCATATGGACACTTACATATGTATTTTAAATGTTTATAAATTTACAACTTCATGTGAATACCAATAGATAATTAATTATTTGAGCTAAATTAATTAAAACAAGTCAGATATTATTCAAATAATTGGATAAGAGCCTTGAGTCAGTTTGTATATATTGCTAAATTAGGAGAAGAAAATAAATTGAATAAGATAGTAAATAAAGCTTTATTGATAGTAGCTTAGGAGTTGAGTTAGAACAAATCACTTAAATATATAATATATTTTGGTTGAGTTAGATACTAAAATATTTTGAACGACTAATTGTATCAATTCTTGTTGTCCACCCCTACTCATCAGAAATATGAAAGATGAGGCAGTCAACTCACTGAGCTACAACGGAAACCCACTGCAAATTAGTATAATAAAAGTTGCAAAAAAGAATAAACACTATTTTTTCTTTTTTTGTGTATACCCACACACAATAAAGTTGTCTACAACACAAAAATTATTTGACATCCTAAAACCTTCAACTTCCCCAGATTAGGTTCAAACTTGAGCCCAAGTTTAATGGCCTGAATTTTCATATCCAACCCAAGAAAAGAAACTCTCTCTATCTCTTAGTATCCAGGCCAGGCCCAAGAATATAAACCTATAAATATTTTTTGAAAGATGACAAAAACATTGTCATGCAAATAGTCACTTATAAGTTGACAAACAAAAAATCAATATTAATAGTCAAGCAAATTTTAATATTTTCGTTAGTTTAATTATCTTCTAACACTTAATTTTCAAATTTATTTTTTATTCAATTAATTAAAAAAATTTATAGTTAAATAAAAATTATTTTTGTCGTGTACTATGTAGGATTTCTATTTATATTTTTATCTTACATATGTTTATATAAATTTTAATTTATCTGATGCTAATTTTTGTTTATATAAATAAATTTATAGTATATTATGAATAAAAATTACAAGATAAATATTATTTATATTTCTTTTATTAAAACTTGTATGAACATGATTAGTTGATTAAAATTTATGAGTTAGAAAAAACTGCTTATGTGTGCGCGCGCGTGTAATAAAATATATTTAATTTAAAAAATAGCATTCTTTTTATTGTCATTTATTTAAAAACTTCAGAAAAATAGCTATGACTAATTAAAAATTAATTAGATTGAAAATATAAAAATTCAACAAATATATAAACGAGAGGAATAAATTTTGATAAAATTAAAAAAATAAATTAAACAGAATTTTCTAAATCAAAATTGAGAGAATGACGCATCTCGATTTGAAATATGCATGTCGCTATCGATGATAATGTATTAATTTTTAGAATTTAATGAATAATATAAAATTAAAGACTATATAATAAATATATTGATAATATCTAATAAATAAAATATTCAATTATACAATTTAAAAATATAAAATAATTTATATATATAATTTTATTTTATTATTATAAATAGATATATATTTAATTTGTTATTAAATATTTATAATTAAAATTAATATGTTTATTATTTCATTTTAAAGTTTATATTATCAATTCTTTTGTGACGTCCATCTCGTATTCACCATCATCTTATTACAAAATTCACCGCCTATTCATTATATTGATTACCTTAAATCTTTTAAAATAACTTTCTTATATTTTCTTAATAATCTTCAAAGTAAGTTTAAATGAGAATATTTATTTTTTATTATTATATTAAAAAAAATAAAATATATTAAATATTTTGCATTTAGTAATAAGAAAGATTGGTAGAATACGTCATTGTTCATTTTTTCCTTTTTTGATAAAATCCTCATTTTTTTTTAACTTTTTGTCAGTAGAGATGCTTTGCGTTTCTAGTTTCGTAGAGGGACGGGTTAATTTTGTCCTTATTATTTAGATTTTTCGATCCGTCTATCATAAAAAAGAAAGATTGGTAGAAATAAAAGGGTATGACTAAAATTATTCCTTTCGAAAAGGTTTTATCATTCATTGACTTCTCTTAGGAATAAAAGGGAAGAGACATATAGCACTTTGCAAAGTAAGATCGATTTAATCATTTGCATTACATAATATTCATTTACCCCTAAACCCCCACCTTCCAAGTTGCCTTTTCACCAAACAAAACGTTGGGGGCACAATTAAACTTGCAATGCGTGCATGGTGTGCATCCCAAATATAGATATATACACAGCCTTTTAGGTGTCAAATTTAACATCAGAGCACTGAAGACCGTTTGATCTACATAATCAGACACAACTTTAATTTGATTAGAAAACCCTTTGCCTCTTCTCATATATTGACAAAAGCTTCTCAATTAGAATCTCGGACTCTAATCTATAAGTTTTTTCCACCTGTAGAAAAACAAGTACCACTTCCAATTATTTCTCAAAACCTTGTAACGTATATAAAAATAATAATAACAAATAAAACATTAACAATAGCATAAAAAGGGGAAATATCATAAATGTTATAAAACATACATGGAAATGCAAATTGTAGAAGACCCTCCCTCCAAAGGTTTCAGTAGAAGAAGCGTTTAGCAGAAAGAGCCCATTATTTTCTAAAAAGTGCAAAATTTCAGAGAGTGGAGCCTTATTGTGAACCTCATGAGAAGAAATGTTAAAGGCGGCCTCACTATCGTTTAGTCTACTTGTTGAAACAACAAAACCAGAATCGTAGTGGGTAATTTCCCTTTGAAATTCTTTGATAAATGCATCTCCTTGCTGAGAAATTCTCCATAGAAGCTCCTCTTTTTTCTTCGTTAGTTCTTGCACCTCCTTTTGTAACTCGGGTATGTATTTTAAGACTCGCGAAATTGTTACAGGAATGCTCATTTTCTTCTGCAACGACATTAACATGCATCCAAGGAGATCTCAGTCGATGACAATTAGGTGAAATTTCATTTATTTTGAGGTTTATCTGTACTTGTTTATAATAATAAATATGTCATTTATTTATCATATCATTATTTCAAGTTTTAACATTATGAAGGAAATGGTGATTTTTATAATCATCAATAAAAACATCTTACTTAAAACATAAACCAATTGCCTGCTAAGTATTTTCAAACTACGTGTTTTTTCATCCGCAATGAAAACGTGCACATGTATAAAGGATAAGAAGTGAGACAAGCTAGGACTAACGCGTCCTTGATTGAAGTATTGTGTCATCCCGTTTGCATTGCTGTCAAATAAATATTCCTTATTTGGTTCAAGTTTGAAAATAAACGAAAGAAGATGCTTTTTGGTGGAAGTAAATAATCCTCTTAAAAAATCTTTCTTTTTTTTTGACATACTGGTTTGAATATTGATCCAAGGATAAGCCTAAATTCATAGGAAGTAGGAAAAAACTCGTTTCTACCCCTAAAAAGAAAATGATATATATTTAATTTCTTTTGTTATTAGTAATACTTTCTAATTAAAAATTTTGCTTTAATAAACATCCGTTGACAACAGTCTCTTAGAAACCTTTATTGTACCGATGAATAACCATGCTCAATTCCTTCAAGTTGATGCTTACAGAAGTTTGTAGAGTAAACTCTCGTTTTAATAAAGATCAAATGAATTATACACTAAAGTTTCTATTTTTACAAAATTATCACAGTAGTTCTTTGAGTTATATAAAAAATAACTAAAATAAGAGTTTTATAGTGTCAAACTAATGTCTAACATTTATAATTTTAAATATTAACTCGAGAATTTATTATAAGTTCGGATGAGAGCGTACCGTTTGATCTGCCACTGGAAGAAGTGAACGAAGTGAAGAAATCAAACCATTGATCTTCTTGCGGCGATCACGTTCACTAGCGTTGTGGTTAAGCTTCTTGACCATGGTAGAGTCTGGGGATGGTGAAGTAGACCTTTCAACCTCAACCTGTGGCTGTGGTGAAGAGAATTGATGGGGCAATGAGTCCTCTGAGGACACACTATTTTTATAGAAATAATTCTGATTATGGCTTAAGGGTTCCTCCTCTAAAAGCCATCCCATGGTTGAGAATGCAAGCATGATGATGATTAATTTGTTAATTAGCAGTTATGCTTAGATAATGAGATGATCATTAATATATATATATATATACACAAGCTATTATCCTTTTGTAATGATACATGTTTATATATTTGAATAAGTAAGTGGCCGCTAAAAAATGAATAAAATAATTGTCTTTTTAAATATAAATTCTTCTTTGAGGTAAGAGTTGAGGCAATAAACTATTCAACAAAATACACTTGGATCACTTAGCATCATCATGAAACTATTTTTGCACTTGAGAATTATGTGGGTGCACATGCAAGCGCGTGCCTGCAATATGGCATCAATGTGTTTGTTTGAGTACTAGAGGGTGAGAAAGGTGTGTGAAAACCTAAGTTAACACGACACATTTTTTCCTTTTCTGTTTATATATTTAGATAATGAAAATCGTATATGGTCTCTGTGATACTGCCCAGATATGTATTACAAAATGATGTTTATCAAAAGCATTGATAATATTTTAACAAATGTATAAAAGATTAAATTTTGCTAATAACCTTGTATGTAGTTGTACAAAAGAAAAGGTGGTATCTTCTGAATAGACTCCGAAACGAACCTTTGCCTTGATGATCTGCATAATTAGTACAGTTATTAGTTTCGTGCGCACCGATAATTAAAAGTCACCGAGTGTTTGTTTACTTTCAAATTGAATAATTTCTTTTAATAAAACTAATTTTTAACCATTAAATATAATTAAAATATGTATCTAAATTAATTAATTTGAATTATACCTTTTTATTAGAATGTATATTTTTTATTGAAAAATATGAAAATTGACTTTGTAACTTTAAAGAAAAAGCATATATATATGAAACAAGAAAAGAAACAAATATTATTGTTTTAATTAGTGTCACAGACAATTTTTTTTTTCTCTTTTGACAAGCCTATCTGATTGCCCAGTTTCAAACTTGCATAATTCCTCACACATATTGTTGCTGTATATCTATTTCGATTTCTTTATACATTCATGGTATAATGATGTTAAAAAATATGGTGAACAGCTTTGAAAGTTACGATATGATAAATACATGCATATACACACTAGTAGGTTTTTGTTCCACGAGCAAACAGAGATTTTATGATACGTAAGAGCCTTCTTTTGCTCTGCTATCTATTTTAATTTTCAGTATGGAGCTATGATTTTAGGTGAAAAAAGAGAAGTGGTAGATTTATATAAAAATCAAAAGAAACTACAAATTGAAACTATTGACAATTTACGGTCAATAAACTATATTTGGACTTCCATTAATATATCATGCTTTTAAATTCTAGTTTGGATTATTATTGTAATCAACCGCGATATTATTATTTGAGAAATATTAATAACATATATTTAATTATTAGTTCAAATCTAGTAGAACTTATAAAATTAAGTAAATTATACTTATTTAATAAGTCTCATAAATTTTAATTAATAAAAAAATGTATAAAAAATATGTTAAAGAGAATATCAATATATTAGTTTTCTAATTTGGATGAATCATCACTTGTGTAGTTGTAATTAAACCAATTGTTCAATTGTTGCCTTTTAATTATTCCACGTGCCGATGCATGGTATACACAAGCCTTTAGCTTCCTTGCTTATGGTTTTCACGGGTTTATTAATTTAGCTGGGAATTCCAAAATTTAGTGTAGATTACGAAGTATGATGGTGCGCGACACATTATAGTATTATCCGTAAGTTATATTAGATAGCAACTCATAATAAATAATAACACTATAGTTTTCTACGCTAGACATTTCTGAAGTCAGGAAACAATGCATCGTTTATCCATAGTAAATGTAATAATTCTACTTTTTGTCTTCTCTAACTAACATATAGTTTGAGTCTTCTTACTTTTAAATAATTCTATGATTTTAATTAGAATTTATTAATAATATAAAACTTTTCTATTATTATTTAATTGTTAATTGTCGCATTAAAAAATTATTTAATCATATTATATATAATGTCACTTAGTTAATTTAATATTTGTCTTTAGTCTGTTATCTTAATTTTTATTGTCTCTACAACTTAAAATTTTTAGGTACATCAATTCAACAACATCGAACTAATTAATGAAACAAGTTTATTAAAACAAAAGAACTAATTCTTTTTATTATACTTGAAAATTTATAATAATAATTAATGAAAAATATTCTGAATTTACACGTATAACTAAGGATGAAAATAAATTAAGTAAAAAGTGAAGTGACTTTAACTTGTCACGTAAAATTAGAGTTTAAATTTAAGTTTATGACTTAACATAAGTTAAATTTTTAAATTTAATTTAACTTTTTTAGAAGTCTGACTTAACTCAATAATCTATTTAATAGTCTATTTAACAATAAGACCTTCAAATAACATTGATAATTTAAATTTAACTGGCCAATAAACTAATAACTAATGGCTAGTAAGCTGAAAGACCTATTATTAGTAAAATAGAAAATATAAGATAAGCAATTATATTAAATATTATGTTTAGCAAAAAAAATAAAATATAAATGACTTTACAAATATCATATATCAAAATGACTATATTCAATAACACTATAAAATTTTATATCTCAAATAATTTAAAAAATAACATATCTATATTATGTAATCTCAAATACTAAATAATATAATTATAAAAAATGAGATTAGAACGTATAATTCAACCAACAATTGTCAAAATATTGAATTAGATATCAAATCTTCAACGTGATCACTTTAAGTTTTGTATTCATCTTGAATATTCTAGCAGTATAATTATAATTATTATATTATCAAAAAAATTAAATATTGAACTATGTTATATTATATATATATATATATATATATATCATTTTTTTGGATAATTATATTTATATTAAATTGTTACAAATAAATAAATAAATAAAAATTATAAAATAATATAATTATTTAATTAGGCCGACTCAATAGGTCTAAAAGATTTTTAAAGTTTAAATTTAGCCTCTTTATTTAAATAGATTTTTTTCAAAAGTTTAAACTTAATCTTTTTAATAAATAAGTTGAATTAGATTAGACTTTAAATAAGTTAGGATATAAGTTTTTTTATAGACAATTCTGATCCATTTTCATCCTTATAATTTATACTTTATGTTTTTTATTTAACTGTTGTCACATACTATTTTCTATGTCAATTTTTCTTATAATTTAATTATATACTATTTTTGTTAATGAATTAACTTTTAAATAAAAATTATGCGTGACTAGAGCAAGTTGTACAACAATTGTTTCGATACAGTTATGACTAAATCTACACCAATGTTTTAATGACCTATACCAACAGTTTTTAATGACCTATACTAACATTAAGAGATTATTGACCTAATCGCTAATGTTAATCTATTTCTCTAACACCTTTCACATCAGGAATCCAATTCTCTGTTTACATTTCCATGATTGGACACCCCAAGGGCATTACAAATGGACTTTTTTTACCGTAAAATAACCAAAATAAAATAAAATTCCTCAGATAGATCCTGGGCAATTTTATTACATGAATAGACTTGTTTTTTTTTTTTTTTTTGCTATTTAGAATTCGGTTCCTGGAAACCAATTCTGAGTTAGTTTTTGGTTTTTTTTAATAATAAATAAATATTATTATTTAAATTATATTTATATATTATTATTCTAATAAATATTTATAAATATTTTATTAGTTATATATAATAAAATAAGTTTTATTATTTGGATTTTGTTTTTATTTTTATATTATTTAAAAATAAATAAAAATAGTAATAATATTAATTTTAAATGTTTTTTAAAATTTATTTGATATATTTAAGATAATAAATAATATTTTTATTTTTCTTATTATATTATTTAATATAAATTTATTTTTTGAAAATGATATTAATATTATATTCTAAAATTATATTTTTGGTTATTTAATATTATATATTTATAAAATAAATAAAGTATTAAATAACAACCAATTTATTTATTTATTATGATATATTAAATATTAAAATTTATACATAATTATTTATTTAAAAAAATATGTTATTAATATTAATAAATATAATTAAATAATATTATGTAGATATATTATATATATAATTATATATTGAATATAAATTATAAATACTAAAAATTTAAAAGTTGCAATGACATTCATAAAATTAAAAATGACATTAAGAAAATTTTAAAATAATAACAACAACAACATAAATCAATTGCGGGAACTAAAAGCTTGACCGATGTTTGGACATGTCTTCCTTGTGTGACCAGGAATATGACAATAAGAACAATTTTTTTCCTAACTTTGTTGTTCTTTAATATCCATCTATGTTCTTATCGTACTGGACTTGGGTCGACCCTTTGAAGTTTTTTTCAATTTTGGATTTGGACACAAAGTTGGACCCATGTAAGTTGGCCAATAGTCTTCGTGTCTGAGTTCTCCAAATTGACCTTCGTATACCCTAGAAACTTGTTGTAAGGTATACACAGGAGATATGTAGATGTTAAAGTTGTGGTGTGTGTGTAAGCATGAAGCAATTACATACGAGCATGAGATGTGAACTTTTTGAAACTTGCTACAATCATACCACATTTCATCTAACTGTACTGTAAATCTTCCTACAGGTCAAATTTCTGTCGGATGTTGTATTTCTTCGACTAAAAATCTAGTGCTTGTTCTGTTAAAGGTGATGACTCTATGAGTGTTCGCCTTTGACTGTGCATCTTGATTTGTTTTAGTTGCAACCTCCGAGTACATATGTCCAACATTAATCATTACATCTACTTCCTTGCTTCTATCAATGAAGAACTTATTGCAATGGGTGTATGTTGCCATGACCATGGAGCAAATTGGTAAGTTTCTGCTAGGTTTGTTGTCATGTGTCCCCAGACAGCGTCATCCGTTCTCCCATGCCAGTGTCCATTTTTCTTTTGGGATGTTGTTCAACCATTGTGCAGCTTCAGGATTATTATCTTTTACTATGTTGTAATAGTAAAAGAATCTCGATTCAGTCATCCCATATGCTGGAAACAAGATTACAAATTAAATTAATATAAATAGTTAAGCACTTGTATAAAATATTAATGATAATATACACTATGTAAAAAATTAAAATTACCCATATTGATGACATCTTTCTTCAGTGCAGCATTTTTGAATTGTCGCATGAAGTTTTGTGCAATGTGTCTAATGCAATAGACATGGACAAAATTGTTTTCTGTCTAACCACTTCCATTTCTGAAGTATGCACTTCTTATGGCCTTGTGACGATCTGAAATGAGACACAACCCTTCTTGCGGGGTTACGTACCTCCTTAAGTTTTTCAGAAAAAAGAACCATGCATCGCTAGTTTCACCTTCAACCAAAGTAAAGGCAATGAGAATTATGTTGTTGCGGCCGTCTTGTGCAACTGCCACTAATAAAGTCCCTTTGTATTTGTCAGTCAAAAATTTTCCATCCACTAGAACAATTGGTTTGCATAAGGCAAAACCATCAATGCATGCCTTGAAGGTCCAAAATAACCTCTTGAAGAACACATTCCTCTCGTCAAGCAAGCCACCGTTGTATGCCGGTTGTGTACTCAATTTCCATATGAAGCCTAGAACATATAGTTGCATTGCAAGCAACTGCCTAGGTAACTTATGGTAAGACTCCTCCCAATTTCCGAAGATATTTTCAATGGCATATTGTTTCCCAAACCATCCCTTTCTATAGCTGATTGTATAACCAATTGTAGACTTTATGTGGGCTAAGATGGTTGCGATGGGTGTGGATGGATCAGTCTCAATAATTTCATGAATGATTGTGATCCTGTGAAATGATTAGGGAAGCACATGTGTGGCACCCTTCAAGCTTCATTATTTCTCAGTGTTGCTCTTTAGTGCACAATATAGTGCGACATCTCCAGACACTATTAATGTCCTGGGCATGGTATCGCATGCCATATATTGCGCCAATTTCTAATAATCCACCAACATACCCTCTCGTGTGCAGATGGAGTAGGGGTAGAGTACTAAACTTTTGAAATAAACCTCACAATGATGTTGTGAGGTACATATCAATGTTTAATCACATTTAAGCTAATAAGGTAACTCGTCATATTTATTTTCTTATCTTTTACACATAATCTTAAGTAACAAAGTTAAATATATTTGTAGTTTTTATGGGCGCCATATCAAGACTTGTAGACATCAATACCCATAGAAGCATATAGAGATGTTCAACTGTGGATTTCATGTACTGTCATCCTTTGTTTTGTAACTGTTGAATGACACCAAACAGATAAAGTCAAATTACAGTTTTGTCTAATCCAAGAAGTTCATTCTCTACAGAATAATTTGAATGACCTCCACAAAATTGACATGAGAGGAAGACAGGATGAAAATTGGGTTACAAGACATGTTCAATGGATCGAGATATGGAACAACAGACGTGAGCTGACAATAACAGGTCATCCAATTCAAGGCCCATTGTGTCACACACAAGAATACATGGAATGGTACATTGTTAATTCTATCTATTTTCTATCTGTGCCACAACTACTACAAGATCCAAGGACGAGCGATCAACAACAAAGGACTACCAACACATTTGAAATGGGTACGACTTCCACACCGTCATACCACGAGACTGCATCAATTCCTCTGAACATTACGCCAAAAGCAAATATAATTAACACAAGACATTTGTTTGCAACAACATCGGAGGATTTTTTTACAAACTTATTTGGAGTTGATTTTACAACTCTATCTTCAGCACAAACTTATATGCAGTCTCTTTATCAATTGGATTTTGCTAATGAACCTGGTAATTCATCAAATGCATTCCAACAACTAGATCTTCATGATGATCCAAATCCTCCACAAGTTCATCCTGAAATTTCAGAGCAACAATCATAACGACGAAACTCACCACATCACAGACGTAGCCCTCGTTGTGGAACTGGTCACTATTACGGAGATAGTTAATTATCAATGTTGTTATGAATTTGTTATCATCTTTATTAATGTACTTTGTTTTCATCAATGTTACCTTAATAATATGAAAACGTTAATTTCAAAATATTTGTCTCAACTATAAATAATTAAATTATAATTTAATATTTTATTTACTTTTTAAAAATAAATTTTTTATTCTCAAATAAAATTGATTCAAAATTATAATAGTATAATTTTAAAGTTTAGGATATTAAAAATTATAATATTAAATAATGACATTTTTAAACAAATAATTTAATTTAAATAATAATTTATTTATTAAAAAAAAAACTAAAAACTAACTCAGAATTCGGTTATCTAGGAACTGAATTCTGAATAGCGAAAAAAACATGTCTATTCCTGTAATAAAATTGTCAGAAGGTCTATCTCAAGAATTTTATTTTATTTTTAGTAATTTTACGACAAAAAACTCTTACAAATAGGGTAATTTTTTTTTGAACCTTTTTAAAAAATTTAATTTTTTAAATAAATAATGGATTCTGAATGTTTGTTTTAAAACAAAAAAAGTGGCATAATTAGAAAAAGATAATAGCAAATAAAAAACTACGAATGAGCGTCTCCCTTGTATCTCTCGAGGATATATGGGCTTAGCTTGTTAAGAAAGAAACCTAGGCCCTATTGGTTCTGTTCAGTTTGGACTGGAGAAAACCCTAATTTGCCCTCTCACTCACCCAAATGGACGGAAAATAATTTCTTCTAAAGTCCAGTTTAACAACAGGAAATCGAGTGATGTATGTTTATCAATCTTAAGCATAATCCAAGCTTTGATCTCACCCTTCATAGAAACTTGTGTGATTTTATTGCTCTATCAATCTTCCTAACCTCTTTGTCCATTAATTGATGTCAAAAGAAAAGAGGCTCCCATTGTTGAACAAGCAAATAGTGTTCTGCCACAAGCCATGGACCTAAAAACAACGAATGTTTACATTGAAGTTGCGCAAAATTATATTTAGTGTTCAACATTAACTCTCATTCTATTATGTAGAGAGATTGTGGAGACAATAAACTCAATGTGAACACACCAAGATCATTTTATTCTTGGTTCACCATGGATTATCCCTCTTAAAATTTAAAAGACTGAAGAAAAAACTTTTTTATTTATCGAGTTCAATATCATACCAAGACAGAAATTTGATACAATAATTCTAAAAGTCATTCCAATAATATCCCAGGTGTCAAAAGAATTCAAATTGTAAGTACCCAAAAAGTATATATAGCTTACAAGGGTCCACAGATTTTACAGGGAGCTAAACATGTTGGATGGATTCCTTCGCCAAAGCTGAGTTAAAATCAACCCGGATAGATCATTGTTTAATACTTTGTCTAAGGCTTTCTGTGGGAGAATTATCCGAGATCAATGGGAAGCTTGTGTTGTGGTTTTTTTGGGTAGCTGCACTATTATGCAGGCTGAATATGAGGCATTCTCCATGGCTTGAAACTGGCCGAAGATCGTGGCTTCCAAAATGTTATTATCGAAACTGAATATTTCGGTGATGACTTCACTTACATTATAATGACAGCATATCTTTCGGGAAGGGAATTCAGTGGCAAATGGGCTGTCTAAGCATTCTGAAAATAAATATAATCGATTACGCTAGTGTTGTTTCTCAGTTTGTTTTTGTTTTCTTATGAATACCCCCGTCAAAGGTTTTGTTTTGTCAAGCCCCTACAAAAGGCTTAATAAGTATTTGTTCATCTTTATTTGGGCTTACGCTCCTTTAGTTCGTTAAAAAATATAAGCTTATGTCCACCCAAAAAAATAAAATAAAAGCTTATAAACCCCCGTTTTCCTTTTTAATCTTCTATAGAATCAAGTGCGTAGTACTCATTAAGAATAGAATGAAAAATTAGGTCTTTCCATAAATTTCATCCCAAATTTCAACCCCAAACTTACTATGGTTTAATTTCACTTTTATTTTTATTTTTTTTCTTTATAACTTTAAATTTCTGGGAAAGAAGCTCCTACCTGCATATTCCACTTCTGATTTTCACAAGCTACTGGCTCACAGTCTGTCATACATACATATATACATACATTGCAAAAAGCAGCAGAACATGTACATCCTTAAAGCTAAACCCTATATGCATAACATTATTCGGCTTATTGTAAAGAGAGAATCTTTCAGACCTGGACCCCAATCCTCTGTGCTATCTGCATCAGCAAAATATTCAAGTCATTTTATGTATATGTATAGAGAGACCTAATTAAGTTAGCATGAACAAGATAGGAGATTTCAAAACCAAAATGAAAGGGGTAATAATATTGATAAAAACAGCAGAAGATATTCATATAAGGTTTTCATTTTGGGTAAGCTATTTATACAACAAATTTTTACAATAACCTTCACATAATAAAAGAGATAGGAAGAGAAGAGAGAAAAGTGCAGGATAAAATGGGTGATGTCATAGGGAGAAATAGAAACAAAAAGTGTGTAGAAATTGTTATACAAGTTTTTTGTACGAATAACATTATGCTTTCATTGTTGGTTCATGCTGATTATATTAAGTTACCAACTGCCAGCATGTTGACTATTTCCATTAATATTTATAAGAGTACCAATAAGCCATATCTTTTCTCTCTAGATTTTTAAGGAATAGCATTATACAGCTTCTCTCTGCTTTGCTCGTAGTTGACTTGAAGGAAGTTTCAGTCTCTCGGGGACAACCTTCCTATTTTATCTTTACTGTTTGGATGGATTCTTTATTGTTTATTATTTGGTAACAAGGAAGACCTGTATTTGGGAATTTGGGATCAAAGGGGAAGGAGAAAATGACAAGTCGGGGATGACACCTTAGCCCAACATCAAGCCCCTGGTTTTAAAAGACCAAAGGAGTTAACTTGTTTGGGAGGATGTTTTATTCTCCCCTAGTTATACTCGGCTTCTATTCTCTCCAAAAAAATTCTGTATTTTGTTAAAAAGAGATGAAGGGGTTAGATACCTCCTTAAAGGAATAAACATCACTGCCCCAAAGCCAAGCATCACAGCCTGCATCTCTGGCACCCCATATATCATTTCTGCGATCATCCCCAACATGAACAGCATCTTCAGGTTTTACACCCAATAGTTCACATGCTTTAAGAAATATAGTTGGATTTGGCTTCTCTGCCGCAACCTATATGAAAAAGGCATAACCAACCATCCACACAATAGTACATGAGAGAAGTTTACAAATCAATCATGGTATAAAAAATCAATCAACAGTATGCAGCACAATGTAACTAGTATGCCAATGCAGGATGCTCAAATGTATATGAGATATAATTAAGAACTTGACAATCTAAATAATTGTCAAGACTTGAGGATTTGAGACAATAACTGCTAATTCCCAAAAATGGATATAGGCAACAATAATACATGTCAAAAAAATCTTTAGGTCATAGGATATGCTAAAGCATTTATAAATATAACTAAATCTTAGCCATCAAATTTCCATTTGGCTTTTCATCAAATTTACTTTTCTTTGCCATATTTGCACAATGTGATAATGTCTCCAAAGTTTAGGTCACATAATTATTGTGTGAATTCATCATTTCAAATGCAAGCATATCTCATTCAATGGTGCGAGAGCTCTACAACATGATTCTCAGTCCCAGGATCCTGTTGAACAGCTTCCTCCTCCTCCTATGTCATTTTCAGAACTGCATTGCTTACTACTAGAATAGACATAGTACAATAGCAGCTTGACAATTATTTTTAGTTCTACTAGAATGATAAATTTCAGTAAATAATATAAAATAAAGATTTCAGTGTTTTCAAATATCTTTGATTTTTCTTTTTTGGGAAACTGTTCTCTTATTTCCTAAACTTTGCTGCAAGATAAGACTCGGGGAGACAATGAACAATTAAAGTTTATTTATACTATTTCCCTTCTAAAGATTATTCACATTCACGATACCTCTCTATTGTGAACTACATCAAACAAGGTAAGTTGCATGCATCAATGAATGAGGGAGGGATGTAAGAGAGCAGAACCCCTAGTAATACAAACTGATAAAACAAAAAGCTACGAAAAAGTTGAGCAATTTGCTTACCTCAGCTGACACTGCTACAGCATCAAACCAACTATCGCAATTTAATGCCCGCAGGAGAGGTCTTAATCGAGTGTCAAAATTTGACACAACAGCCAATTTCACACCTGATTCTCTAAGAGTTTTGAATGCTTCTTCTGCACCTGGATCACAGAGGTGCCATGCCTATATGGACAATAGCCAGCCAAAAAATATCAAACTGTACCCAATTTTTATAAAACAGAAATGACCAAAAAAAAGAAAGAGGGTATTCATCATTTTAGAAAATGTAACTATAAGTTGTCTTACCTTGTCTGTCATATAGTAGTTATAAAGTTCTTCAAAGTATTGAGGATCTGAACAGCCGGTGGAATAACTAACTATATATTGCCAGAACGGCCTACCATCATTAACATATCTGCAGTGAAGAAGAAAACAAAGAGTCTAGATTATGTAAAAGATGACAGCAATAAAGTGTCTCTATAGACTATAGCTACACTTAATAAGATTACTCTTTTTATTTGTTCACTTGCAATTAATAAAAGGACACCAAGAGGAAGGAGAAATATTTCATTCCAGATTTTACTTGCACAAAAAAGAGTGTCTTGACCAAATGGCCAGTGGCATATGATTCAGGTATTCTCAAGAGAGAAACAGCAAAGCACACAAAGACATTTCAATGCACATAAGTATGCCTATGTAACACTGCATGAAATTGAGAACTACATGACGCTAGTCCTGTTTCTCTGTTGCATCATAATCTTTGCTCCAAGAATGCTGGCATTTGATAGTATGGCAGTAAGACTCATGATTTGTGCTCAGAATTTGCTCACCAATTAAGGTCCATTTGCACAAGAGTCAAAATTGATTCTGGCCAGTGAGTTTTTGTCACTGCCGCTTAATGCCATTGGTAATGTGTCGAGATTTGGGTTACATTTAATTTTAATCATTGATATAATCTCAGATGTTTATCCAACAATAATAAAAACAAACAAGTCCTAAAATGCCAGCGCAGTAGTCCTTTAAGAAGTAGGCAATTGAGAAAGATCATTCATTATAAGCATAGCATATTTACTATCACAAACACGCAAGCTCCTATACTTACTATCTATACTTGTTAGTTCATAAAAAAAAGTACAAAATAAGAACACTAATTAATGTTTATACTCAAATTCAAGGCGATTGGCCCTCAGACTTTCCAAGTAAAAAGTGCGTGTTTCAAATCAAAATAAAACCACATTAAACATCATTTCAACGCAAAAAGTCACAACTGGTAGTGGTGAAATAAATCCACGTTTGAGTGGATTTAACGCCAATCCAAACGTGCCTATTAGACAGGAGCAATTCTTCTTCAGCAAAAACGACACTTATAGGCATAACAATTTGAAATTTCAAGGCACATTAAACTATGAAAAAGACAAAGAAGACATTGAAATCGTTATTACAAAGTCGTCTTGATTTTATACCTACACTCGTGCAAGAATTCCTCATAAGACACAACGTGAAGTAGTAACTACTGGATTTTAAGTAAACGAACCACTTAACTATAAGAAAAAATTAAAAGGCAGAGATATGAAAAGATCTACATTAAGAAATTTTCAATCCCATTATAATTGATACGTACACCAACAGACAAATAATTAAAAAATAAATGAACAGGGAAACTAAAAAAAAATCCAAATCGAAGATAGAAGTAATTAGTATGAATGATTAAAAAAAAAAAGCATAATCAAAGATGGAAAAGAGGAAAGTAAAGAACGAACCTGAGACGAGATTTACCCCAAGGCTGACCGTACGCTCTTCTGTATCTATACAGTATCTCATCCTCCGAATACTCCACACCGTACTTCTCCCCAATCTTCCTGTATATCTACAAAAATATATATAAAAATACAAACATAAAACGACACCGTTAGAATAACAGAAAGTTTCATTTCCACGTGCATATCGAAGCACAGAAGTTACTACCTCTGCCATGGGTTGAGAAGGGATGAAAAGAGTTCCAACAGCGTCAACCAGAAGGGCCTTGTGAGTGATCTGTCCGTACAGTGACCTCCGGTAATCGGCATAATCCTTCACCTCCGTGTTCTCCGCCGCCACCGCCGCAGCGGAAGCGGAGGAGTACGACGAGCAGCGCCATTTGCGGAGCGCAACCAGCGGTTTACACTTGCAACCGAGGATCCTCGCAGCCATTTGAGCCATGTTCGTTGCTCTCTTCACATTGGAAACTCAGAGATTTGTTCACTTAGTGCAGTGCTGCTGATGCAGAAGAAAGAGAGAGGGTCCTCAGTGTCTGAGAAATGAAAACAAAACATGGAACCAAAGGGCAAAAGGCTTGCGATTTGTAATTGTTGTTTTTATTTTATTCCCGAAATTGCCCCTGGACTTGCCTCTTATTACCATTTCATTATTATTATTATTATTTGCTTTTTTTGGTTGCAGATTATTACCAATTTATTTTCAGCGGGAAGGAACTGGTCAATTATTCAAAGATTCTAATTATGGATTATTGAGAAAACTTTTTAAAAAAATAAATGCATGTATTTTTTGCTTCTTTTATATTATAATTAAATTTAAAATTATTTTTAATATCAAACAAATAAACGAAATTAATTGACATTAGTTTAAAGTTTGAGTAAATAATAATAATTACCATGACGTAAAAAAACTACAAGTTAACTTTTTAAATTAGACTTAAACATTTTTTAATTATTATACTAATTTAATATTTTAAAAAACCACTTAACGTGAATTTTTAGAATATTATAATGTTAACTGCATCAAATATTGAAAGATATAAAATTAAGTTTTATTTTAATTGATAATAACATGATAGAATAACTATTTTTTTTTCTGTTAAAAGGCTTATTTGATATTATTTTTTAATGAAAAAATTAATATTAAATATATGTTTAAGATATTAACTCTAACTTTGTATTTTCAATTAAATATATTATAATAAATTCTTTTTTAAAATATAAACAAATAGTTAAATTAAACTTTTAGTTCTGTACATTAATGAATTAATGAATAAGCAATTTTGGTCTTTCTAGTTTTAATTGCTTATTTTTAATTATATTTTTTAAATACTCAAACTAAGTCTTCTACTCTAAAATTAAAATTTATATATTTTATTTTATAATTTTATTTTAATATTTTATATATGTATTTATTTATATAATTGATAAAATATTATAATTTTACTATATTTTTATTAATTATTAAATAAATTTTTAAGGTAAAAAAATAATTTGAACGTCTAAAAAATTAAAAAGATTCAATATAAGAAATTAAAATTAAAAAAAGAAAAATAATATATACATTAAAATATAAAAACCAAAAATGTAATCAAACCTAACCAAATAATCTCTAAATTTATTGTTAATTAACTGTGAATTATGAACTGTGTAATCAAATATTATATATATTATAAACCGTAAATGTAATAAATAAATAAACCCATTAGCATTGTTTAAATATTTATTAATTTTAATTTATGCACGTAAAATACACCTAAACACGTAATAGGTAGTGTAATTTCCTAAATATAATTACAAACTAAAACAAAACATGAAAATAAGATAAACATTGCTAAATTAAGTTAAGATTATCTTTTTGATATGATATTGTGGATTGAATATAACGATTTTTGGATAAGGATCCATCGCATGAAAGGTGAGAGCCTAATTTCAAGAAAGTTTGTGCGTTTTGTCAGTGTGGACTAGAAACAGTTTAATATCTTCTTTATGGGCTACCGTTAAATATGAAATGAGCAACAATAACAACAACAATACTAATATACCTAGTCCAAATAAAAGTAATAACAGATTAACAGTAAGTTGCATGCGAGCGCATAATTCTGAAATAGCCACATCAATAGTTAAAAGTAGTCTAGGTTTCTTCATTTAATCGTGGGTTTGATTCTTTATGAATTTTAACAATCACTGTTTTTTTATTTTATTTTATTTTCATCTTTCAATGATATAGTTTTTCTAACAAAGAGAACAATCCCGCCTTTGGGAATAGCTCGCAATTCATCAAAAATCAAATAAATCATTTATGCAAATTTCACCCCTACGTCACTTTGAGTCAACATATTACGAGTAGTTCAATTGAGTGTTTGGAGTGAAATAAGTTGGCAAGATATTTATGAATACTTTTAAATATTTAAATTAATTAGCTTTATTAATTAATATGAGATAAAATTGATAATAAAAAAAATAAAAATAATTATTGTGACAGAGACCTCCAACACAGCAATAGTGGGGGGTAGCAATGCCAGGGAACTAAAAACTAGAATATAAAAAATATAGCATGAGACACACATGACATGAAGTGGAACATCGTTATCAAATCCTGGTCAGCACAATTATGTCCCACGCAAGCAAGGACTCATCAAATTCATCGAAGGGGATGCAGGCGGGACCCACATTGGGACCCATTACCTATCCATTTGGCTCTATATGATCAATCTCTAGCTCCGTGACACGAGGGAGCGGGATGCTCTCTTAATGGGACACGTTACATAATGTTTAATTGTTTATTATTTTTATCTCAAACCTTGATGTTGTTTGAGGATTTTATTCTCTGTCAGCAAGAAAGAAACTCGTTTGTTCGATTCATTATATATAGCAATGATTGGTTGTAGAGTGAGAACAACGCTTCATGTGGGTGACAGGCTAAGAGATTAGAATGAGTCCTGAATTTAATGGTGTATGGTATGAGCATGGCAAAGACAATGAAGCAACAAGAGCCGACTGGGAATTGCGGATTAGGATGTTTTGTTGCTTCAATGCCTTCTTTAGTTTATATATACATAATTTGGGTTTATTTGTATTTTTTTAATCTTTTTAGATTGGTTAATGGGTGATTTTAGTTTGGTTATTTTTTAATTAATTAATTCTTTGTATTTTACAATTTTGTAAATTTGATTCTTCTGTTAAATTGCTTAAAAATTTAAATTAATATTTTTTAAAATATTTAAAGGATTTATGATAAATATATTATATAAAACTATTTTAAATGTTTAAAATTAAAAAATTAATAAAATACAAATACAATTTAAAGATATTCAAAAACTAAATATATTAATTTTAAAAAGAAATATAATTATACATGTATCAATTTAAAAGAACTAAAAATACAGTTAAATTATATTGAAAATGTTATATACGATATAGAAAAATGGCAGTGACATAACAAACTTTACATGCAGCAGATGCTTTTGAAACTTTTTAGGCGAAGTGAAGGAAGAAAAGCGGAACAAGACGAGCAAAGTAATGCATGTGCAAGACAGCCAAAGATTAGGCATAAAAAATGAGATCCAAAGGACGTTGGTGCATCTAGTATATAATTGGATATATTATTTAAAATTTAATAGCTGAAGTAATTATATTAAGTATATTGTTATTTAAACCAAAGCAATAAAGATAAAAGTTTGTAAGTGGTGCATAATGGGATAGAGTATGCAGTACGCAGTTTGCTGGCTTGGAATTGTGGTTGAACTGTTTTAGGCCACAAAAATTGAGTGGCGGGCCCATTGAGGTTAACCCTATACCTTCCACAGATGTAAGATGGCCCAATTAATATGAATCATAATATGGAGACTATTCTTCTAAAACAAACATGTGGCTTGGAGCTCCCTTTCATCTCATGTGCCTATTGATGCTTTCTAGATGTGAAAACTCTAATATCCTTACAAAAACCTAAAAAAGAGAAGCTTCCACATTTGCTTCAAATCTAATTCAACCTTACATTCCTTCCTTTAATTTTAGTGTAACGCTGTTTTGTATACACTAACGCACGCACACTAACAGGTGGGTCTACTTTTGCCTTGCATCAATGCTCCCCTTCATTCTATTTGCGCCATTTTTTTTAAGTTATAATAGTTTTTTTTTTTTAAAAATAAAATTTTTAATTTGATTAAAAGTGTATATGAGTTATTTTGGCAGAAAAATAGAACTAGATTGTGAGTCTTGTTTATAAACTAAGTATATATTTTTATTAAAATTCTATATAGTATGGCCTTCATAAGATTTTTCTACTTTTAGAAAAAAATTTATAAGAAAAATGATAGTCAAAAGAACACATGAAGTTTTAGTGGAAATTAAAAGACATAAGTTTTAATTAAAATGAAGAGATAATTTTAAATAATTTTTATAACAAAGTTATAACTAAAGAAATATGATTTTTTAGTCAAAAAATAATATTTTGAAGTATTTTCAAAAATTATTATATCATCGTTAACTTTGATAAGAATTGATAAAAACTATTTTATCAAAATTGGATTAAATTATATTTAAATGAAGAATATTTCGTACAAAAATTTTATAAAAAATAAAAAATTTGTGTCAAAATGTCAATGCATTAGGAACAATTACAAGTAATCGTTTAATTATAATAAATGATATATGATAACAGTTACAAAAAAATATTTTAAGCTATTATGTTATAAAGAACGTTTTTATTTTAACAGTTATGTTATATTTTGTTTATAAATATGATTTAAAATCGTAGTACAAGGGTTATGACCTTTTCACTTTGGCATCGGCACTTAAGACTAAAAATAGAGATTAAAGGTACTCTTTTATTGTTAAAAATTTTAAGTTTTTAATTGCAATGTAATTTCAATTTAATTGTTTCTTTTAATCTTTCATTGCTTTCACATATTATGTTTCTTTAATCTATTGTTGCTTTTATCATTCCTTGCTGTTCTTCTTTTCCTATTTTTACTTTTGTCTTCTGTTTACGCGATTAATTAATTGATTGTATTCAAAATATATTATAAAGAACTTGTTAAAAGGATCTAAAATTAAATTCTAAATTATTTTTAAATTTATTAATATATTCAAAAATTTATCATAAACACACTTTTAATTTTATTTCTTAATACAAATATTATTAGGGATAAGAGAGACTACGATATTTCACATGTATAGACTTAATTTAATTAAGCAGAATGTTATATATTTCAATTTTAGTTTGTTTAACTTTTTTATTGTGCATAAAAACTTATTAAAAAAAAAGGAAAATTTAAAGACGTCTCATAATATTTTTTATTCGAACAAAACTTAGTTTTGAGTCCCACGAATTTAAATAGAATTAAATAAGTGTTTACAAACCATCAAAGAATTGGGAGAAGATAAAAGTTTGAGCTCAAAAATATCAGCCTCAGACTCAAAGGTGTGAGGATATCCAGAAAGGAAAAAAAAAATGCTTAATTTATAGATTATTTTGCAATTAAGTAGAGTTCACGCTAATTTACTCAGACATTCACTAATTTGCTTCTTTGGGCACATCAAAGGCAAATTATCCACGACAGGATCAATTCATGGTACATATTGTAAACAACCGAGAGATTGATGTAACCCGGATTCAATCATGTAACCACTACTTTCTACTCGTCACATTCTTACGTGCCACTAACCAATTCATTTGGGCTCAAATCTCGTTAGTTAATACTTATTTAAGATAATTTAATTTTCATTATATTTTTCTTAAACAATAACACATTTTATTTTCAGAGAAAGAATAACTTTTTTCTTTTTTCATATTTCAAAATCAGTTTCTATTTTATTTAATATTATATATATATATATATATATATATATATATATATGATTTTGAATGCACTATCTCTTTTGATTTATGTCTATACATTTACTAATTATCATTCATTTATTAGGAAGATTTAATATTTTATTTGACTTTTCTTTTTCTTTAAATAATTCACATTTTTTGTGTTCCAATTTTGTCCTAAAATCTAAAGTATTTGCGTGGCTCGAATTAGTCATTGACTTTGAGACCAAACATGAGTGGTGAAACGTCTACGTGCTTTGGTGTGACGTTTAACATAACCGATTCTTAATTTATAATAAACCTACGCAATTTTGCAGGTAGAGATATCAATGTACATTATGTGGCTATGATAATTTTCACGTTTATCATAATCCATTCTAATCAATATATAAACAGTCCCTACTTCTAGCCACTATTTTGATACTAATAAATTTGTTAATACTCAAATAAGCTATTTTTAAATTTTTTATTTTTATTTTTAAATTTAAAAGTCGAAAATAAAAAGAAGAACTGCTGTAACAGTGTTGCATAGAAGGTGCATCAGAAACCAGTTAACTATGGGCCATTGCATGGCGGATGACAAAAATTGCCATATCCCATTAAGGCAACACTGTTGAAGTTTTCTGTAAAGATTGAAAATTGATTTTCAAATTAGAAAATCTAAATCTCGTTTGTCTTATTTTCCTTCATAAATCTCCACGCTCTTATGTTTTTCACCACAAATTATTTGTCGAAAAGGCTTTTTCCTGTCGGAATTCGTGGATTTTTCTTTTTCTACCTTAGTTTTATTTTCATTTGCTATTAAGAATTATATCTGCATAAGATTTTAGATAAATTTTTATAAGAGGTTTTTATTAAGTTAAAAATAATTTATATTCTTCAAATTTTATAAAAGTAAAATGAAATTTAAAAAATAATTTTAATTTACAAGTTGAGTTTGATTTATTTGATCACTTATTTTTTTATTCCTATAATTACTAATTATAAGTTTATTAAATAAATTGGTTTTCTCTATTTTTAGTTTTTTTCACACGGAAAAGGTTGATAGTTTATTTTCTTATACTGGAATTTTGTACTTAATCTTTTATGATTATGAAAATTATATGGACGGTTTCAGTTAACCAATTTCCTGAATGTAAATTAGTTATTAAAATTATAACGTTAATTAAAAATCAATAGTTAAATTATTACAATATGCTTGTGCATTATAAATTATCAAAACATTAAAGTTCATTTTCTTGAATTTATTGTCTTTGTATCCTTTCATGTAAAATGCATCTCTCATTTTAAAAAGATTAAATTCATGTAAAATTTTACTTCAACGTAGTGTTGTATTGTTGATGTATACTTGAGCATTTACCACTATATATATATATTGCGTTTAAATTCCTAAAATGAACTTTAATGATTTCATAATTGATATTAAGTCCCTTTATTTTTACAATTGATACAATAAAATTCTTTTATCGAATTTCCTCTTCTTCAAACTTTCAAATTCTTATGTTGTTTTTTAAGTTTTCATGAACTAAATTAACTTAATTAAATTACTTTTAAATTCTCTTTCACTTAAAAACTTAGCAATTAAAGCATTATATTTTTTCTAAAATGAAAAGTTCCAAATGTTTATCCTATCTAAAACGTTAACTTTACAACTTATAAAATATTCACATTTCTAACTTTAAAATCTTTCTAATTATTTCTGATCTCAAATATATCATAAAATATAAACTCTTTGTCTCACAAAAATTATGTAATAATTATTAAGATTATATCGACCTCTAATTATTCAGGCAAATAAAAGTTGTTGCACTGAGTTACTAAGAAATAATAGAGATAAAGTAAAAGAAGGATGAAAAGATAAAAAAAGGAAAATAAAGAAGGGAAATCTCTTAAGTAGTCAAGTGTTCATAATTAGATTAGCTAGTGATCATGAAAATATATATGATTAGGAAAGCACTAACCCAAGCTTATTATTACCCTTTACGGATGGATTTTTTGGGTTATTTATAACCCTTTTAAAAATGCATGGCTGTTCATATTGGCTTGCTTAGTCATGCATTCATTGTTTATAATTTTTTTTACTAAAATTATTCTTGGATTTTTTTTTTCAATGTTTACGATTATATTAAACATTATATTTAACGGGTATTTGTGTTAATTTATTATAAAGAAAATATTTTTTAAGTTAATTATTCTTCATATAAAAAAACTGACACAAGCCTGCAGCAATTGTTCAATTAACAAAACTCTAATAAATACTGCAAACACTTATTAGATAGACAAACCTTCCGCCCAAGACGTCATAAAATTTTGGTGATTTGCTTTAACGTTAGAAACCAAGAAATATTTTCACTCTATACTTTTATGTTTTGACAATTCATTATAAAACTTTAACCACTATTCTTACTTTTTTATATTTCAGAAACTTATATCAAGTCAAAATATATATATTATTTATTACAGTACTTTTAAACTTGAGAGAGTATTAAATACTCTTTTTAAATTATATTAAAATATTAAAAAATATTTACATATTTTTAAATACACTACTAACTCTATCACTAAAATTAACAATTATGATTATTCCACTTATACAGAATCATAGAATACTTTTTTATTTTCTAAAACACTGTATAATTTACCTATATATATATATATAATATTAAATAATTAACATATATATTCACTTACGTTAAAATTTAGCTAAAATATTAGTTAAGATGATAGTTCAGCTATCAAAATAAATAAATGTTAATTACTTAGAACCTTAAACAGAGATTAATAATTCAACTTGAATATTAGTGAGAACATTGAACAAAAATAATAAAGTGTTGATCACTTCACATTTTAGTCACTTCACACTTTAGTTTAAGATCAATGATTTGATTAGAATTTAAATTTTATTAATTTGACAAAATATAAAAATGATTTGACAATTTCTGATTATCGAAATGATCAAGCATTGGTTACTAGACACCTTAGTCTTGAAACATTTTAAATAGAAACAAATGATGAAGACCAACGAATGATAAAATAAATAATTTTTTCTAGAAGTAGCTCCTTGACAGTTATTTCCTGTCATTATTTTCCATAACATAGACTAATAAATACATAACATGACAACACGACGTTAGATCATAGCAATAGTTTTTCTCTGTTTTACAATTATTTTGTTATCCTTGTAATCTATAAATATAACTTTAGTTTTTAGTTTAAAGGATTTTTTGGAAAAAAAACTTTATGAGGTATAGAGAAAAATGATTTTAGGAGTGTTAAAAAGAGAAAAAGAGAGATAGAAGGAAATATTAAAAAAATACAGAAAAAAAGAACACTAAAACATAGATTCGTTAAACAGCACTTACAAACATAATCCATCATATACTTGTTAGCAAATATCACTCCAAGATCATCATGATCACTTTCAATAGCATCACAAGAAACATCAAATACATGTAATTCTAACCTAACTGTGATTAAAGTTCACATTATTTGTATTTTTACTTTCAAATTATTTAATACAAACTCAATCTTCTCTTGGATTCTCTTCTACATTTCTATAGTCATTGTTTTCTTTAATTTGTCCATTAAATGACTCTAAATCTTAAGTATTATTCCAACTCTAAACCTGTCTTGAAAAAGTATGTAATTTCAAATACAAAAAATTCACTTAAACAACATAATAAAAAAATTTCAATAATAAATATCTTGATAAAATATCTACGAAAAAAAGTTTTTTATACTAACATAAATTAATCACTTCTCAACTCTTATTGATTTCATTTTTTAAAATAGTTTTCTATTTTTAAAAATAAAATATAATATAAATTCAAATATGCTCTAAATTGCCACACGATGTCTTGTCTTTTAAAGATTTTTTTTTTTCAGTGTTGACTTGAGAGTTGAGGTCACTGATTTTGCTAGTGTCGAGAGAATTCTTCAAAACTTCACTACATGTTCACTTCACTTTTACAACATGATGCAAGAATAGCTTTTATTACACAAATATACAGGCCAGCCAAAGCCCATATCCCTTTTACTATTGAATAGAGTAAACAACAAAGTGAGAATCACTGAAAAAATATCTTAAATCTCTTTGCTTTATCCTTTTGCAACAAGAATATTATACTTAGCAGCAAAAGGTGCATCTATGGATCCCACCCATAATACCCCATCTTTTTCCTCAACTTCACTAATAGACCTCCCCCTTTTTCCATTCTTGTCTTCCATAATTTCCAAAACATCCCCTTGCTCACTTAACCTAATTGCCAGTCCTCTTCTCCCTTTAAGCTTAGCCAAATATGAATAAGCTTTTGTGATGTCCAGAGGAAGCTTAAGCAAAGTTTTTCCAATCCAAGGATATGATAAAATCCATTGGATAAGTTTCTCTCTTCTTGAATAAATTCCGACCCAAAATCCCCCTCTTGGACTTCGTTTTATGTTGTCTGGGAAACCTGGTAGATCGGCAAAGACTTCTAAGGTTCCAGCTTTTGGTGTTTCTAGCCAATACCTTAGCACTCTGCAGTTTGCGGTCTCTACTATTAGAATATAGTCACCATCTTTGCTCAGTGCAACTCCATTTGCAAATGAGAGATTGCTTAGAAGAACACTAACTTGTTCGCTTTTGGGTTCATATTTTATTAGCTTCCCTGTTGTATCTCTGCTTAGGATCAGAGAGATGTAGTTCCTGTGTTTTGCAATGATTTGACAAATATTATTATCAATTCTTAAAGGGAAAATATGATTGCATCCATCCTAATGTTCATGCAAGCGTAAGACCACAAGAAAAAGATAAAGATAGAGGCATATGTTGCTTTTAGTCCCATTTTTTAATGATAAAAGTAAAGATCACGAAGTCTTGGATTTTCATCCCCTTTAATAATTTAAAAGTGGAAAAAGTTAGTAAAAAGAAGAAAGCAAAAGAAAGTTGATTGAACTTTCCGAATTTAAAATTGAGAAAAATTAAAATAATTTTAATTATTAAATATAAATAAGATGTATGTTATACTTAATTTTAATAACAAATTTTATATTAAAATATGTGTCCTAACAAGAAGAATTAATCTGAAGTGTTAAACAAATGCTTAATTAGCTTATGTCGTGTGCGATGACTAATGATAAAAGAAAAAAAATCTTTTTAACATATTCTTTATCATTAGTTAAAATTAATTAAAAATCATAAAAATATATAAATTTAATTACTAAATTAATTATTCTTACTGATATTTTTTAAATTTTTAATCAATTTTAATTAATAAATAAAAAATGTTCCTAACACTTCTCATAATTATAAATAAAAGTTGTTAATCCGCCAATCTGTTAATTATGTAGCTATATGAAGGGAAATAAGACATTATAAATAAAATATAGGGTAGGGTGGTAAGAGGTGAGTATTATAGGTTGAGAATATGTGATGACAGTAATTTACCTCCTTTGATATTTAGAACTGCTGGTGGTGAAGTAGAGTGCTCCATTTCTTTGATCAATGTCCAAACTGTTAGTGAAGGCCAAGGGTTGGGCATGTACGTGAGAGATGAGTGTTTTAGGAGTGCCACCATTGGGACCAACAACAAGTATGCCCTTGTAAGCATCAGCAATGTAAAGGTCACCTGATGACATGCTGAAACACAAACCCAGTGGACGCCCACAGATATGCTCTTTCTTGGGATGCTCAGAGTATGCTCCTCCGCATTCATCATCTCTGCCAACACACCCTTCCCTTATCAACTTCATCGAGAAATCAAATTGTAACTAATGTCTTTCCAATATATACATTAAATAAATATTATAATTATCATGTATTTTTTTAATAAAAATTATATTCCATTGATTTGTTAATGTTTGCAATATCATAACTTGCAAATCATCCATGCATGTAATTAACTGATAAATAATTATTTTAATGAAAAATATTTTACTGGTTGATGATCTTAAACATAATTTATTAAGTGTTAGTCAACTATGTGATAAGGGATATTGAGTATTATTTAATTCACTTTACTGCTTTATTGAAAATGAAAGGGATAGACAAGTAAAATTCATAGGACATAGAATAAATAATATGTACATGATAAATCTAGAAAATATTCCCTCAAATAATGTACAATATCTCATAAGCAAGGAAAACGATTCATAGTTATGACATAGCAAAATTACACACATTCACATGGATCATTTAAAAAATTTGGTTTACAAAAATCTATTAATAGGACTACCAAAACCAAAACCCCTCTCTCTCTCTCTCCTCCTCACAACTCTCTCTCACTCTAAACTTATCTCTTTGATTTCTCCTTCATTTCTTCACCAAATTCACTCAAACCACTCCTAAATCGTTCTTCCTTTCATCCCCTCTACAAAATGGGCCTGGAGAAGCTGAAGATATAAACCCCTTTTTTTCCTCTTCAAAATTTTAGAATTATTCTTCTATGTGGCTTAACAAGAGAGGTATTTTGACTCCTTTCAATCTAGGGATATCATAGACCCTAAGTATCTAGACGAAGGCTTCTTTGAATATGAAAATTTTGATTGCTATCCAAGTCTTCAAAAATCAAAATTTGTTGTCATTCATGACTCTCCAAAAATGCCACTTTCCATATTTAGTTAGGTTATTTTATTGTAATTTAGAAATTAGGGAAGGGCTATTTACTATGAAGTTAAGAAAGTCCCCATAGTCATTGATCAAGAACTGTTTTTTAATCTTACCAATTTGAGTTCTGATGGTGAACAATTTGAAGGTCGCATTGTTGATGACTGGAAACTAAATTACTCTAACTTTGATGCAGTAAAATGATTAGTATAGATGGGGCTAGTTTGTCTAGATACTGACTTGTTAGATCACTTAAATTTGAATGTCGTGTCATGCATTACATTATCTCTCATTCTGCATCCTTGACTTACAAATCTTGCATAACCAATCGAGGAAGACATTATTCCAATGTGGGCATTCTTAATTGGACACCAAATTATTTAGGCTCATTTGGTGCGATACTGAATGCAAAAAGCCCTCAAGGCCAATGCACCACTCTCTTATGTTCACCTGATTACCATGTTCATGGAATACTTTGATGTTCCTTTATCCAACGAGCCGTCTATCTTGGTTTAGCGTTCCAGTGAAATTGGTTCTAGTGCAATTTCTTCATTTGGATATCAAAAGACCCATCTCGGTGAATAGGTTCGCAAGAAGATCATTCAAAATGAGGATCACGAAAAATGCACTCGATCTCCTCCTTGTAATTTGGCTGCAAACTCCTCCCCGATGACTGAGCTTCTATCTGAGTTACGCTTCCTTCATAATTACGTGCGAAGTGTTCAACTTGCTAGGTTCTCACATGACTCGCCTTGAAGGAAATGTGGGCTCTATTTGTCATCATCTTGGCCTTCCAGATGATGATGCACCTTATTTTGTTTCATCTTTGTTATGATCCTTTGTTTAGATTTTAGTTCTCACTTTTTCCTTTGTATTTGGCTCAACTCGTTGACTTATGACTCTTACATTTACTATTTTATTCTTTGTTTAGATTATATTTTATGGTTGTTTGCTATTTGCCAATTGGTTCCCGTTTTGATAATGCCAAAAGGGGAGAGATATATATAATTCAATGATTAAAGGGTATAAAAAATCATGCATACATACAGTAAGAAGAGTGAACACCGCTTATTGTATATTATTTCAATTGTTGCTCCTCGTCCAAGATGGTTGTTATCATCAAAAGGGGGAAGAATGTGAATATATATATATATATATATATATATATATATATATATATATATATATTGTAGATTTTGATGCAAAAATTTTAAGATACATTGATTTATTTGACCATCTCTAAATTAATCAAGTTTTACTCTTTAGTAAGTTTTAAGATAATTTTGATTTAAAAAGAAAGCTTAAATGATGTTTTAAAACTATTTAAAAAAAGTAGTAGTAAAATTGCAATCTTTCAAATTCTAAGTTTATTGTAATGGATTTACATATACAATAATTGATTACTATGGTGTTCTTATACTCAAAGTTCAAAATCTCATAAGTTTAATTTATTACATATTGATGTAATTGACTGTCAGGAAGTGATTATTGCTAATTTTTAAAATTTTAAACTATGTAATCAATTATAAGTTTATGTAATCGATTACTAAGACCAAAATATGCAAAGAGGTGTCTTTTGTATAGATGTATCCTTTTGGATTAATCTCTAAAAGTTCATACAAATTGTTCTATATATATAACATTCTCTAACATTTAAAAAAAATGTATTGCAAAGATCAATTGTAAAAATAAACGAAATAGTGAAACTCTCAAAAGAGTTATTTGAGAAAATTGGACGTAAGTTAAGAAGTAACCGAATTAGTATAAATCAAGTTTATAATATTTTTTTCCTATCTCTTTGACTTTATTACAAATTTATTTTATTAATATTTTGTTCTTATACATTAATAGACTCTCATATCTAAGTTCTTAAATATTGTAAAAAAAGAATTTAGATTATAAAATTTCAAAAAAAGTTATACTCAATTTACCTACTTGAGTTTACTCAGATCACTTGAATAACAACTAGTAATAAAATATTTTATCATATTAATTAAGAATAAGTTTAAGAAATAATTTTTTTTAAATAAAAAATTAAAACAAAATCATACGTTTAATATAAGAGAAATCAGTATGATAAGAAAAAGAAAATAACGCCTAAACAAAATTTCATTTTAAATATTTTCATTTAAGAATAAATACTCAAATTTAATATACAGAGATAGAATACATTTAATAATTTTTTTAACTTTCAAATAAATAAAATGAATTGTAAACATGAGACTCATAAAATGTATAAGAAGATAGTTATATATATATATATATATATATATATATATATTCTTTAAATGTTATGTTACTTTTTTTTAAAATAAAATTTATTCTTTTAAGCTCACTTTTAAGACATGTTAAAAGATGAAGGTTTTCGTCATTTTAGTATTGAAAAATCTAAACTAAACTCAACATTAGCTTTTTGGTGAGAAAACCAAACCGTGGTAGGTTTTAAAAAATGCCCAACTGAACATGGAAATGCTTAGCTTCCTCGGCCTAAAATGAATAGTAATCAACAAAAAAAATATGAACTGACAAATCATTTATGACCAAAAGAAAAGAAATCATTGTGTTCAGTATAATTAGTTCTTAATTTTGATTTTAATCTACCAATTGAAATTTTTTTAAAATTTACTCACTGCTTACTCTGCTCTTCGTTTTTCAAGTCAAATGTTAACCATTTTTAATTTAAGCACTGATTAGTACATTTAAAATTTAAAAATATATTTAACAATATAATTAGCAAATTTATCATTCTTTTAATATATATTCTTTAAAAAATATTAATATAAATTAAGATTAAATTTAAACAACTAATAATAATAAAAGAATTATCTTTCAATAAAAATGTAACTTTTAAATATTTAAATTCAAATTTAATTTTAAAAATCAAAATTAACAAAAAAATGAATTATAAAAATATTAATTAGGATATTTAGAGATAATAAAATAATATTATAATATAATAATAATAATAATAAATATATTTTTATATTTTAACTTTAATTTCTTAACTTATACTATTTTTTTAATTATTTTTCTTAAAACACTAACAATATCAATGAAGTACTACTACTAGTAGCAGCATTATGTTAGTTAAGACTATCCAAAAATGCTAAGTTCATTCAAAATTGGGTTAGCCGAATGTTCAAAACATGAATAGGATCGATTGACTTATTTAGAAGAAATTCGGATTAATAAAAATAAACTTATATGGTTAAAAACTGTCATATTCGGATAAAAAAATTGAAATCTGAACTAACCTGACTACTTATTAAATTAATATTAAAAATAATATAACCTTAGTAACGCATAAAAAATGACAGTGTATTTAGTGGATGAGGCTAAAAGGTTCAAACTCTTCTTCTATATTTGAAATGATATTCAAAAGGAAGAAAAAGTGAAGAAGAAGAATGGAAAGATAAAGACATGGATATACATGAATAGATGTTGTTGGACGGTAGGATTCATATGTTTCCTTTAGTGACTTTTGTTGTTTTTATATAGTGTAACCTTAGCGTTGTTTCCTTAGTAAGTGGGAGAAGAATAATAGGGCCGTCGTCGGATCCTTCCAGCGTGAAATTGAGGAAAAAGGAGTTAACAGTGAATTACTTAGTGATCTTTGTTCATTGTTATTGAGGAAAGAGGGGTTAACAGTGAAGCACTTAGTGATCTTTGTGCATCGTTACCGGTGGATTAGAACTCTAGAAAAATTATCAATGTGTTAATGGATTATTCAAAAAGAGGTTGTGAGATCGCACTTTTGAAAAATTGTACTAAAGGTAACTCTTTTTTTTTTGTCGTGATTTGATGTTAGATTTTTTAGGTGAGGTATGTGTAAATTTGAATGTGTTTTGAGTGGAGTATTTGCAAGATTTTTGATAAATAAATCATTTTGGCCTAACTGCTTGTCAGACTGACTTAATTCAAAATTCGCTTAATATGAAATCTGTTCAATCTGACCATTAAGTGAACCGTTACAACACTAACAATATAGAGGTGAATTTTAGCTTTTTGTGATTTAATTACATCCGAAACTGTTTAAGCTTTTTGTGGTTTAATTAGATCTAAAATCGTTCGACTCGATCCAAAGAATAACTCTAAATTGTTAGCACTCCCGAGAGAAACGCTAAGTGAAACGACTGCTGAAAATCAAGAGGCTGACACCGTTTCAGAGTTGGCAGTTGCATTGGTTACTGTATCTTCATTTTCAGCGGCTGTGACCTCTCTCCGCTACCTGATTTTGTCTCATATTTTTTTAATTTTTTAAATTAAGATAGTTTTTTTTAATTATCTTTAAATTTATTTCTCACATTCTCCCTTGCCATGACGCCACAGACCAGGTAAATTACCCAACAACTTCACACCATTGCTAAATTAGTTCTCACTATTAAAAAGGAAAAATCAAAAGTTGCACTCAGAACACAGATATCACATTTAGAAGCAAACAAAGAGGGGAACAGGAAGGGATCACCTGTAAATGGACGATTCTGCGGGCTGTCAGTTATTCGTCCAAAATTCTACTGTGTTTTAGCATTTTTTACAATTTATATATCATAGCAAGCTAGCAGTGCAATTATGTACAATTAGCCTTAGATATGTTCTTATGCTTATTTTTTAATGACTTTTTTTATTTTATTTTTTTCAACATTTTTTGTTTCGTTTTTACATTTTTATAATTTTTTGTTTATAGTTTTTGTTATTGATTTGGTCGACTAAAAAGTTATTGAATGCTAATTTTTAGTTAAATTATATTAATAAGAGAGACTAATAATAATAATAATATAGAATTAATTAAAAAATTATTTGAAAGAACAAAACCAAAAATCTATTAAAATGTAATAATTAAAAACACATTTAAGCCATAAAATTATTATACGCAAGGTAGTTTGTATGAAAATATGTTACCAGTAATTATATTTGTTAAAGGTTTTTTTATTTTAAAAAAATAATTTATATTTGAATTAAAAATATTTTTACAGAATTAGCTTTTTTCAGTGAAATTTATTTTTTATACACAAATTTTTTTAATATTTTTTTTGGGTGAAATTTATACACAAAATTTAACAGAAGAAGAATGAAGCGTCTGTATCACTTAAATCAATTCTTAATTTTTTTTATTAAAGAAAAGTACTAATAAGTATAGTAAAGGTAGATAGATTAAGAGTTAAACTAATATTATTTATTAAAATTTTAATTAATTGAAAATAAAAATTAAATAATTTTTTATATATATCATAGTCAATATTTTTATTTAAATATTTTTTTTTATTAATCTAACAATTATCCCAAATACATTTTATGGTCAATAAACATTAACTTACGAAAATTCATGAATTAAATTTGAAAATGAAAATTATCTACTCCCTAGTGTAGTAAATTGATTCTAAAGTTTGTGCCGAAGAATAAGTTGGCCGAAAAACAAGGGGCAAATTAATACAAGTTTAACTAACTAATATCCTTCCCTTTTTATTTATGTTTAAAATTTTGTACAAAATTTAAAATATTAGTATTTTAAATTTTATAAAAAATTATTGTTAGAAAAATACTTATTAATTTTATAAAATAATTATAAAATAAAATTCATAAAATATAAAAAATGAAAAAAAAAAAACAATCATTTGATTAACTAGTATGTTTATTTTATTTTATTTTAAGAAACTTCAAAATAAAATTCCTTATATTCTTGCCATCAATTCTTTATTTAGATAATAACACACAAATGTTCTTTTCAATAATAAATAACTTTTATTAAATATGTGTTTCAAATTTTAAATAAAAATTTAAGCATCAACATCATTTAATGTGAAAATTTGATGGCAAAAATATAATGATCTGTATTTTGGCCTTATTTTTAAAAAATTATCATCAGTACTTAAAATAAATTTTAAATTATTTCAAATATTAAAATTTTGATTAAAAATATAGATCTCAATAAAATATTATTATATTTAACTACTCAAAATCAATCTAAAAAGTTTACTTCAGCAAAAACATTTTTTTAATTAATGTATCCCTAAAATACTTAATTATGACAATATTTTTCTCCAGTCTGCCCCATCAAAATGATGAACAGAAACTTTTGAACTCCAAAGTAAACTAATTCAAATACAACATAATTCTGTGGGTAGGAGCTGTTTGATTTAGTGAAAAAATGAAAAAGTTTGTCTAAGGCTCGGTTATGTACATTTTACATTCATACAAGGTATGTGTATACACATGCAGAGCTGCGAGAGAGAGGAGAAAAAAGAAACGCACCTATCCGAAGAAGTAACGGAAAAGTTGTGCCAATGATTCAGAGTGTCGTTCCATTTGATAATTCGACCGTCAGATACGCCTGTGTAAGGCCCTTTGCCGTTAGGATCAAACGCAAAACTCTCTGCTCCAACGGCGCCATCAATCGGAACAATCTCGCACTTCCAACCTTTCCTAACCTCGTCCTCCATGGCCCAACACTGCAGTTATATGCTATCCAAGCTGTAGCAACAATCGCGGTGGCGATGGCTGCCGTGAAGCGTTGTTGCCGCCTCATCCTTGATTGAGCCTGGAGGATTTCTGAATAGCCCACGTGTTAGGTTTATTTTCAGCCAATGATGCTAATACCAGCTAATAAGGTATGTTTGAGAATTTCATGTATATATATACACAAAGAAACGTTAACTCCGATGAAAAAAAAATTGACCACATTATTTTATTAAGTGGATTGGATAATCAATAAATGTTTTTGTTAACATCATTTTCAGAAGCTGATTTTACATATTAAAGGAAAACATTTTGAGCCTAAATAATGCAATTTTCCTTCATTAATGCGGAAAGCAACAGATGGGATGGGTACGTGTATAATCATGAACATTGTAAGTAAAAAAGTTTAATTATTTAAATCATAATCATAAAAATATAGTTTTAAAAATAATATAAAATTTAATTATAATTATCATAATTTTTTTTTCTATTTAATTATCATAGTATTTCAATTTATGTTAATAAAAATATATTCTTGAAAATTTATAAAAGAATTTTTAAAATATCTTCTATACAAATATACAATTACGATATTACACTGTACTATTACCATACTGATACTATACTATTCCACTATACAATTATTTGAGAGTTAATTAAGAAAAGAAAAATTTAAATTTTTTTCTAAATTTTGTGAGCTTTTCTAATGCTAGTTTTTTTAGTTCTTTTAATATGAAATTTTTTTTTTACTTTCTTGTATTTTTTCATAATTACAATTTTAATTTTTTTTAATATTAGAAAGGAAATTTTTTTAAAATTTATAAAAAATAAAAATATTAATTTTTTTTAAAAAAAATATTTATTTTTTATATAAATATAAAATATAAAATATAATAATATTATTTATATAATTAAACTTCTCATCGTCTTTTTTTTTTAATATTAAATATCTAAAATTTAATTTATTTTTTCTTTAAATTTTTTCATTTTCTCTCCTTCCAAACTCCTAATCTAAATCCAAAAATATCTCAACTTCTTATCTGATGAGTCACGATAGGTGCACTGGGTCACCTTTTTGTGGATTTTACTGGATAACCAAGAAATTGACAAGTTTTAAATTATAAGTGAGTCATATAAAATGAAAAACATATATTAATTTTTATTTAAAACTAATTATATAAAAAATTAAATTTAAATTAACAGTAAATATATTATTTTATGTATGCTTTTATTTTAGAAAGGACGCAACTTGTGTATCTGGGCTAGCGTCTTGATCTGCTTCAGAAAACCTCAAATCTTGAAATTGCCATTTTTGACAAATTTTATCTAATTATTATCCTGACAAGATGATTAATCTAATAGCTTTCCATAAAAGGGTCCTAAAAAAGTAGATTAGCTTAATTATAATTTTTATTTCTCTAATTTAAATAATATATAATTTTGGTCTTTTAAATGTGTGAACTCAATAAATTGTTCAACTTTTAAAATTTTAACAATTTTATTTTATCAATTTTTATTTAAATTATTTTATTTTTATTAATTATTTTTCTATTAAATCAATTAAATTATTTTAATTCAAAGTTTATCAAACAAAATATTAAATTTTAGTTGAAATACAAAAGAAAACTTAAAAATTGTCTCTTCAAAATTTAATCTCACATTTTGTAATTCTTTCAATTTTTTTTTACTAAAATTCTTACTTCTAGGCTTTTAAAATTATTTCATGTAATTTCATTACAAACACTAAAAAAAATTGGATAAAAATAATAATTTGAGAGATTTAAGTAAAAAATTCTAAGCTTATACAATTTAAAAAGTAAATAAACTTAATTAATTTAAAAAATAAAAAACTAAAATCATACACGAATTAAATTATAAATAATAAAAATTTTAATTAAATTTAATCAGTTAATTAATTTTATTTGTATACTGACACTCCACGAATGCAAGTGAAGGCGTTTGCGTTCGTGTTCAATAAGAGTTATAACAAATAAATATTTTATACATGTTTTCATAATTAGTAATACTAAATACTGCGGATGATAAAAAAATTAGTTTTACTAAAATTTTTAATATTTAATATTATCTATGGTTTTATTTATTAAAAATAATTATAAATATTTTTTCTTAATTATGAAAAATAAAGACCTAATTTTATATACATTAATTGCTAAATTATGTTTATACTCTTAGTTATTGTAAGTTTTTTATTAACAAAATACTTCCTCGTTACCTATATAAGTGTACAAGTTCATATATTCAATATACTACCTTCAATCTTACAGAAAATAAATATTTAATTGATCAAATTTGATAAAAGATAGTTACGTGTAAAAAATTTATATTTTATTTCTAAAAAATTTATAAATTAAATGATTTATATGATGAATAATATATAATTATTCTTTTAATACATATTTCACAATAAACAAGAGTATAAAAAAATTAGTTATCATTAAGCATGTGATATATGATGTTCCAATAGTTTTGTATGAGTATATGCTTACCAAAATATTTAGATGAGACATTATTGAGTATGTATGGAAAAAAAAAAATAGATGAGAGGTGTAATTATATGTTTGCAGTAATATATAAATTTAACTTTACATATTTTAATAGCATTATGCTAAATGTTAGTGAAATAGTTGATTATATTAAGTATCATTTTTTAAAAGTTGTTTGGATTAAAGTGTTTGAAAATCTCAATTGTATATGTATTGTTCTTTCCTTTAAAATATAATAGGTTAAAGTATTTTTTGGATTCTGCTTTTATGTTTAATAAAACGTTGATATTTAACAACAAAAAAAAAACTAGTTATTAATATATTTAAAAATAGGTATTTATTTTTTATAATTAAGATAAAACAAATTATAGTTATTTTTTATAAATAAAATTGATGTAGTCTAAATTAATTGTTTAACATTATGATATTTTAAAAATAGAATATAAATTTGTGATATATAATTATTTTTTATTAATATAATAAATTAAAATATTTATTTTTTTAATAAATAGGAATGAAGACATTAATGCATTACTTCTGTAATTTTTAGCAAAAATTAATTTTATATAAATTTCTATGATGTAAGATATTGGAGAGGTTAATAAAATAGTAATAATAATAAATAAATAAATGATTAATTATGTCTTAAAGTGGATTAGTAATAAAGGATGCATGCAGTTGAGTTGATGGTGTTGGTAGTGATGTTTGATAAGAGTCGTAACTGACACAAATTAATATTTTGTGTTGAATGTTGACATTAAGTTTGTGAATTATTCATGGAATTGCAACTATGTGAACGATGAGACGCATAACAAAACAAATGAATGAAAGGAAGAGAATGCATAAAACGATTCAAACAATGTATTCCACAAGTACTCGTAACAAACAACCATTCCTCATCAATACGCACTATGCAAACAAACAACCTTACCATTTTCTTCCAATCCTTAAAATGCGCCAATTTCGTAACAACCATTCCATTATTATTTTTACTTTTTAAAATATTCATTCATTGAGAAAGCCTAACCACACCAACAAATAAATGATACTCAAATATCAATACCATTTTAACAATGTACCGTAAAAGATAAGCTACTAATGCTCAATGTTAAACGTAATTTAGCAATTCTTCAAACACTGACTTCACTCACGTTTTTGGTGTTGGTAGAGTCCTACAAAATGAACTAATTTGATTTATTTATTTTTAATTTAAAATAAGCTTGGTAGACTAAACCAAATATTGAAGTCATTTTTCAATTACAATATTTTGGATGGATATTTTTCAAATTTTAATAATAAAAATTTGAATTCATGCATTGTAAGTCTTGTCATTTATAAAATTGATTGTTTGGATGGTTATTTATAAAATAAAACTTATATAGATGCAAGAAATTAACCTAATGTAATGAAGTTTATTTTCTAGGTCTTGATATTGTAATAAAATTATTCAGTTTTGTGAAATAGTGATTTGTGAGAAAATCTCTTTCAATTCTCTCTATGCTTAGTAATTGTGGGATATAGAAGATTAGTAGGAGAAAGAACGTGGAAATATTAAGAGATAATTTTAAAAATCTCCTCTCTAATGGTGGATTTTCAAATTCACTCCTAGTTAAGAAAAAATACTCATTTAAAATGCTCAGAATTTTAAAAGCACCTTTATTTAATATGCAAACAAAATATTTAATATAAATCATTTTAAAAAGTACATCACCTCAAAATTTTTCGTCCAAACACATACTCAAGGTATTTATTTGGTTATGTTTGGTTTATGAGTAAATCATCCGCATATAAACATTTGTCATATAAATTTAAAGTACTACTTCACAAAGCCTCAACCTCTGGCATTTTTCTTTATATTAAATAGGCTTCTGTTGAAAGAAAAAAAGGCTTCTTGCTCTGCATCGCCAATCTTCCTCCTCTGCCATGCTTCCTATGCCATGTTCCCCATTCCCCCAATGTGTTGATATAAAACGACAGTTTGAAGTGTTAATTTTAACCATCATCACAATGAAAAGGGGATACTGAGACTTAGAAGCAAGGAATAAGGATTGGCCTGAAACATGGTGATCATCGGATTCAATGATATTTTTTTCTGGGGTAAGGGGAGGGAGGATTATATATAAGATATATAATGCATATATCCCAATGGTGTTCTGGTCTAATAAGACATGTATTCTCATTATTGATTTTAAAAAAGTTTTTAAAACAATAAAAATAAAAGTAAAAGTATTTATGTAGTCTTAAACATAAACGCGTATTCGACACAAATACGCTAATTTTCTGGTCAAATGGTGTTTTGGTCTAGGAAGCATGAATACGGCACAAAACATAGATATATACAGGCACTGTTTTGAAGTATCCGTGCTTCCTAGTCCTCTTTTTCACTGCAATGAGAACATGAACACCTATTTAGTAAGTGTAATTTCATAAACATATGTATGAAGTTCGGACGAAAATGATTTGAACTATTTTTAAAATGCTGGTGGTGAATGCTAACATAACTGCACACAGCAATCTTAGGAGTTAAGGACTTATAATAACTAAAAAGAGAGTTAAAAGAAATAGGAGAACGTAAGGTTAGAGGTTTCCGTCAATCTTGTATCATTTGCATGTGGAACTATGCTCTTAGTAAGAAAGGAAAAATCCTTTGTGGAGAGAAATCCTTTGAGGAGAGATTTCTCTTATTTTCTGTAATTTTTATTCAGTTCAATAGTTTTTTTTTTAATTTCCATTTCTAATCTTTGTTTATAACAATTGGTTCAGCCTGCCGGGTACGCGAAGATTTGAATGAATTCTTCAGAGCTGTTTTGTTCTTCCCTTTAAGTAGAAAGGGTTGCTTTATTAGAATGAACACAACTTCCATACGAAAACTAGCATACTCAATCATCCAAAGTAATTCAAAATCCTACATAATCTGCATAAACGACTGCACTTCATGATATTATAAGCGGTAATTCAAAAACCATCTTATCTTCGATGCACTCTCATAAACTATAAATGCCAATGAAAGGCATCAACACTGATGCAATCCAAAGTTTCCCATCTCTCTCTTCCACTTCACTGATGAACTTCAAGGTTTTTCCTTCATAATCTTCCAAGACTTCTAAAATCTCTCCTTTATCACTTAGCTTTACAGCAGTGGCATGAGGCTTCCACCCGGCAAATGACGAGTGCAACTGCTTGATGTTAAATCCAAGCTTTAGCAGTGTCTTTCCTGCCCATGGATTTGAAGAAAGCCACTTTGCAAAAGGACTTCCTTTTGCATGAAGGGCTACCCAGAACTGCCCTTCTGAATTTCGTCTAATATTGTCTGGAAAACCAGGTACAACTGCAAAAGTATCCACTTCGCCAGCGTTAGGTCCTCGAAGCCAAAGCCGCAAGATCCTGAAAGAAGTAGTTTCTGCTACCAGAACAAATGAGCCATCTTTGCTTAAAGCAACACCATTGGCAAAAGCAAGGTTGCGTAATAAAACTGTTACTTTTTTTGTTAGTTTGTCATATTTCATTAACCGGCCAGTTTTGTCTCCACTAAGGAGTACAAGCATAAATTCCCTGCACACAAAAAAGGCCAAAGTTTAGATGAAAAATTCTCTGCAAATAAAAGTTTTTCTATTAGTACTTAAATATTTTAGTTCCATACACATCTTCTAGGACTAGTAGTATTCCCTCAAAGTGTTAGAAGATGTAAATGAACAAAAGATCATCTTGCTGGAAATTAGAACAGCAAACATTATCTACATAGGTTTAAGGGGGAAAAAAGGCAAATTTGATGAATATTATTTTTTTCAAACTTTAAGCATTCAGTTTTTATTTGACTTGAACAACAGAACAGGTGATTAATACTTTGTTAATAAAGAAAATTCCAACATTCCAAACCAGGATATTTCATCTTAGTAAGGAAACATTTTATTTTTTATTTTATTTTATTTTATACAATGAAGAGACAGTACAGTGTAAAATCACAAGGACTACTAATTAAGGAAATGCAGGCACACTTTCACTGTAGAAAGAAGGTGCGAGTTTGTGCTGAACTTACCTTCTCTGGAACATTGTGCTTGAATCACTGAAGTATATGACATCTTCATCTTCACTGATGTCCATGTCATTGGTAAATTGCAAGGGCTGACCTTCAACTTCTGTTACCACATCCATGGCCAAACCCCCTGTAGGTCCTACTACTTTTAGGCCAAGGTAGGCATCAGCAATGTACAGATCTCCACTTTTCTTATCAAACCTCAGTCCTAGTGGCCTCCCACAAACATGTTCCAACTCCAGCGCAAATGGATGTACACAGGCCAACCTTGAAAATCAGACCATTAAACTCATTAATTTCAAAAGAACATTATCCTAAGAGAAATAAGTATGAATTAGATCTACTGTCCTGATGTTTAAACAAAATTATCAGCATGTGTCAATGTTGCAAATCTCCTCTGATTAAAAACAATGTTAATTTAAACTTGAAGTCAACGGAAAAAAGGACAGAAAATTGTTTATCATCATTTCATCAGAATACTAATTGGTACAATCATTCATGCACAATTTGAAAGAGTTAGTAAAACAGACAGGAAGGTATTCATGCTCAAACAATACTATGGCCACTTGGAGCTAAAGGCAGAGAATGCATGCAATTTTATTTTATTTTTTAACCACTCCTCCTGCCTCTTGGAATTAAACCCATGCACCTACTATGATGCAAAACCAACCAGGCAGAATTTCCCACAAAGCATATAGGATGGACATAATGATCAATGTGTTAGAGCAAGTCTCCAATCTTCCAAAATGGGAATCAAAGGTTTGCAAATTAAATAATGCTGCTAAAGAAGATATCTATTCTCCTCGACCCTTTCGGTTTGAATTATTTGGGAAAACCATAGGACAAAACTTAAGTGCAATTGCTTAAGTGTTATCGGTGTTGTTTGCCAATCAAAGTAAAGTTTCACCCGAGTAACACACAACAATATTAAATGCAAAACTTTTATCAAGATAAAACGTTAATTTTAATTTTTTCCAAAAGCAGTTAAGGAACTGCATCTAAATTTTGTCCAGAATCCAAATTCATTTTGCTGCTAAAACACAGGGTGCTTCACACTCAACAACCTGCACATTTCTTTGCTAAACACTCAATAACAATTAATGCTGAGAATAAACCTTTCTTCAAGAGAATAATTAGCTCAGAACCTCAGCCCCGAACCTTACTCCTCGATTTAGCGAGGCATTAATGATGCAACTATCATATATCTCTATATGGTCTTACATTGCATGCGAAACCAAATAACAAGTACACGTTAAAAATAGTAAAAAATTACAAAATTTTCAATGACTCAATCCAACCACCTATTCTCAAATCCAAAAACTAGGCATCCAAACTTCACACTCAACTACCAAAACGCCAAAAAGAAAAAAAAATAAAAAAATCCAAACTTTCATCCTCAAAAATCAATAAACGTCCAAGAACTACCGACCCAATTGAATTCTCATGAACACAATAACATGAAACCTAAAAAACAACGATAAAACAAATAGAAACACAAAAGGGCTGTTAGTAGTAATTGACTAACATGTTACCTATTGAAACTGGTAACAGCAAATTCAGTCCAACCTCGTTCTTCCCCTTCCCACTTGAGAATCCGGCCATCGGCGACGCCGGTGTAAGGCCCACCGCCGTCACCGTCGAAAACGAGACTCTCCGGTCCAACGGCTCCGGTGACGTGGAGTATCTGAGAAGCGTGCAGTTGGTCCTTGGATCCATGAATAGGAGGCGGTGAAAACAGGGCTCGTGGGTTGAACAAGGCGAAGGTGATAGCGCATAGTGCAAGCACTGTTGCAGCAACGATGACGCTTGAGTTCATAACTAGAAGTACTGTGCAAGTTCAAGTCAATGCTGATGGAACCAACCAGAGTTTTGCGTGTTCTGTTTCTTTGTCCCTCCTCCACGCTTCAATCTCTAGTACTTTGAAAAAACAAGAAAACTTATTTAAATAAGCTTGTTTGTAAAATCAGAAAATAAAGAATTAATTTTTTAAAATAAATTTATGGATTAATATTGCTGGTTCAATGAGTAGTATCTCTTATACGTAGATGTTTTATTTTTAATTAACGTAAGTTAATACTATTTTTTATAATATAAAAACTAAAATTGTTTATTAGTAAACATTATTTTAAATTACATTATAATAGCTTTGTATTTCTTACAATTTCTAATTAGTTTTATTCAATTACTTATTCTTGATTTATTTATTAATTTAAATGAAATTTTAATATATAATAATTAAAATGAATTATTATATTTAATATTTACTTAATTTGATCACGTTATAATTAATTACAAAAATATAATTAAAATTTTGATTTATTTAGTTATAACAAGTGATGAAAGTATTATGATCTTGTCACTTGTTAATATTGCTATTTAGTTATTAAATAAATGACATTTTACTATATGTTAGATTTGATCGTATCAAGTAAATTTATCAAATATAAATAAATGATAGCTTTAAAAGGCATTTGTTGAACATTAGGAGCTAAATAAACACATATTCCATCTTCCATGTGAGTAATGTAAAGTTGATGAGTCCGTTTTTTGATATATTTTTGTAGTTGATATTTATGCACTTGATTGTTATCTGAATAAGTTTTGCATTGATTATTTCATTGATTATTGCAATTCAGCATGTTAAAAGCTCTAATGAATTATTAAGGTTTTTTAGGCACGATTTGATGGAAAATAGGATAAACATGCCAATATTTCGAGTTGTGCATATTAGTGTATATAATCATACTCCTCTTCTGGTACATCCAAAGTGGGGATTTTTTTAAGAACTAGTGAAAGAAGAGTTTGTATTTTAAATTTAGTAAATCATATATTATCGTTAGATATGTTATATCTTTATAATAGATAAAACATATCTTTTAGAGGTAACGACCGTACTCTCTTATAAATTCTAAACTCTATTTAAAGAACACCGGGGGCTACAACTTGAACATCTTGATTTTGGGTAAATATTTACGACTTGTGAAGATTTTGAAGCGTGTCTTATAATCAAAAACTCTCTTCATTTCAATTCCTTTAAGCTCCTAGTATGCTTATTCTCATCCTAGAAAAATAATACACAAAATAAATGTAAAATAAACAAAAAAAAGAGAGTAAAGTTGAAATGAAAGGTATATGCTAATTTCTGCAACTGCTTATTTAATGTCACGAGCTTGACAATCCTGTTAAATTATGTTGAAAAGAAGACATAAGTCTTTGAGGTTACTACTTTAAAGAATTGAAAATTTGAATAATGACTTCCTTGTTATCTAACCTTAAAGTGAGAGTAAGATTTCCGTCTTAAACGTCTATGATGACCTTTAAAGTGGTTAACAAAGGCCTCCCTATGATGATGAAGATTTCATCATCTTCTTCTATGTTAAACACCACAAAGTCCTTAGAAAATATAAACTCTTTAATATTCATAAGCAAATTTTTTATTATGTCATTGGGATAAGTAATTGACATATTTACGAGTTGAAGTGACATAGCAGTTAAGTTTATGCATCTCAAATTTCTTAAAAACATAATAGGGAATAAGGTTAATATCTACCCCTAAATCACATAGAGCTTTATGAATGCTAGATTTTTTATGATGCGAGGAATAATAAAACTCTTTGTATCCTTAAGCTTAAATGAAAACTTTTTAAAGACTATAATTGAACAATCTTTTGTGAGTTTTCCAATTTCATATATAATCTCATCTTCCTTTTATTAGAAGATTTTCATAAGAAAGTAAGCATATTTGAGTATTTTAAAGATAACATTGATAAAAGGCTTATTGATATAAACCTTGTCTAACATATTTAAGAATTTGTTGAATTATAGGTCATAAGTAGGGCTTGATGAATGAAAAAATTATTATTAGCAATTTTTATTGCTAAAAAATGACATTGACAATTTTTTATTAGTTAAAAAACAAAATTTTCAGCCACAAAATTCACTATTAATTATATTTTATTGTGAAAATTCATTTCTATAGCCTAAAATTACTATTAGTGAGTTTTAAAATATAAGAACTTTACAAGCACATAAAAACATGTTGACATTTTAAAAAAAAAAAAAATCATATTCTTCTAATTCATCAAAAAGGCCATATTCTTTTTTTTTTCTATTCAAGAAGGGCATTTCTAGCCATTATGCTAAATTTTTACCATATAAAAAAAAATCCTCAAATAATACTGTACTTTTTTAGTTTACAAGCAAAGCTATTATTTTGAAATAACTTTTTAATGTATATTAAAAAACATATAATAAAAATAAAAATAATATATTTTTATTAAAATGTATAATATTTAAATATCATTTATACTTGAATTTTAAGTTGTTTTATATTTTTAATAAAATTTTATTATATAATTTTATATGTCCTTGTGTGTTAAAAAAATTAATTTCTTTTGTTGCTGAACATGTGGCAAATATTATTTGTTAAAAGAAAATAAAAAAATTATTGAAAATAAAGCCAAACGAATCATGTTGCTTTGCACGTTTTTCCGTGTGTACAAATCAAATGACCTCTGGTTACATGGGATTCTCGCTGTGCCTATTTTTGTCGTGCACTGCGCTGGACTCTGTTGACCTTAATACGTCGGCACTTTCATTTCAATTTTTTAAAATTTTTAATTATTAAATTATTATTACTTTAAATATTTATACGGAAAATAAAAATGTTTTTTTTTTGTTTTATTAAATAATTAAAAATAAAAAATATAATAAGAATGATAATTTTTAAATAAAAAAAACTAAACAACTCATTAGCTTTCAGAAAAACAACACGGGCTTACCTAAAGCCCGTGTTACTCAAAAAGCCCACGTTAGCTAACTTGAACAGGTCCATATATAGTCATAATCTAGCCTAGTTTTGTATAAAGGTTTCTCTTGCTTCGACCCAAAAAAAGGTTTCTCTAGTTTTGCCTAACAAGAGCAAAGACTAATGAGAGCATTAAGAGGAAAGAAAAAAAGATTTTATGAGACAAAAACTGTATTTCTATGATTGAGATGGAAATGTTTTTAACTGTATTTGCATTTTTCATTTTTGTTACAAAACAGAAAGCATAAAAAGAAAAGGAGGAACTACAATCTAAAGATTGATACTACAGCAATATCAGCTAGCAACCAAATGTTTTTAGGAGCTGAACACAGCACAGACTTTCTGGTGTTGCAGAGTTTATCTTATATTTTAAGATTTAAAGGTTATCAATGAATTTTCAATATATTACTTTATTTAAGTAGTATGAAAATTTCATAAATAGAATTACATGTTATTTAGATTTAATTTAATTCTTGTGAAAAATGATAAAAATAACGTAATATTTTACTATTGTTCATAAAAGATATCAATAATAAATATCACCTTTCTTTTTCTCACAGTTCTCCTCCCATAGTTTTCTTTTACCTTTCCCGTGTTCCAAATGATGCATGCGAATCCATGACATCTTTTTTTTTCCTTGACTAAACGAATCAATGATATCATTCTTTTTAGTTTTGACCAAAAAGTAAATGTGTTATAATAATAAAAGCCTAGAACAGAACCAAACGTCCAAAAGTATTTGATCAGTTGATAATGCTTGGACGGATGAATTTATAGAGAGAGAGAGAGAGAGAGAGAGAGAGAGAGAGAGGAGCTAAATATTTTTTTTTCATTTATTATTCTTTTCTTCTTGGTTTATATTTTTTATTTCTAAATTAAGAATTATAAAATGTTATAAAAATAAATAACTATGATTGATAAATTATATATATATATATATATATATATATATTATATTTGTATTATAAATAAATACTTAAACGAGAAAAATATTTATTTAAAATAAAAAATAACCCCCTTTTTTTTTCTTGTTTTCCTTAAACATTTTATTCTAATATGCTCAAGAGATAGATTTGGCCATCATCACATTTTCAGTTTTCTCTTTCTGGATGACAGGAGATTAAGAAAAGCTCCGTGTATTAATTATAATTATCTCATCAATTAGGAGCTTGTTTGCACGTATAGTCTTTCAATCAGAGTTCGATGAAAGTGAAAAATGTTTCCTGCCATTAAGCATATTTAATATAAAGTTTATCCGTTTAATATTAATTATCTGATTTGGATATAATGCTGAGTCATTGCCATTCAACTACTATAATCCAAATAAATTATAAACTTAATTGGGTTTGGGCTATAATCGATTTTTAAAAAATAAAAATAAAAACTTACTGCCGTTCACTTTGTCTTATAAATCATACTTGGATTATTTTAGCTGTTAATTTACTCTCTTAAAACCATTTGAAGTGTTTAACTATAAATCAAACAAGCATTCGAACTTTCAAAGAAACAAGAATCACTATGTTTCAAGTTGAGTCAAAACAAAGAAAAAGAAGAAAAAAGGGGGTAAAGATGGCTGGGCAATTTGTGCAAAAATCACTTTAGATTTTTCAATCTATGGTCTCGTTGTTACACTGTAATATATGTACTCAGTTTCCATTGTATTCAGTTTTTTGAAGGGGTAGAAGAATCGCCCAATCTGCATTCATTCATTTTTTTTCTTTACAAAATATTATCTGCTTATTACTTTGAAAGGACCCGTTTATATAAGTAGGAATAAAGAAATCGTCATGCAATCAGCAGCCCATAGAAGGTATCAAATAATTATTATCATATATGATTTTATATCCTGTTTAAAAAAGCTAATATCTTTGTTTTTATTATAAAAAAGAAAGTTTATAGTAAATAATTGACATGCCTCGAGTCCCATTGTTGAGTGCATGAGATTCCACAACCAAGGAAATAAACAATGTTTGAGGACTGAAACTCTGAAATAATGTCCCTATGGTTTCCCAGAAGGACAATCAAAACAGCCACATTGTCCCAACAGGTCTCATTAAGGACAAGGTTTGTTTTGGCTACAGGGTATATGGGCAGGTAGGT